CTCAGTGTCTTAAGGTGACAGCAATCGTATCAAATTATCAAATTATCAAATAATGCTAGGCTGCATTAGTGGGAGACTAGATACAATAATGTCCTTTATCAGCTTCTCAAAGCGTTTCATAATGGTGGATGTCAATAATCATTGAGGCCTGTAATTGTGGACTTTTTTGGCACTGGCAAGATGATGGCCGTCTTAAAACATGATGGGACCACTGCCTGCTGCAATGAGAGATTGAAAATGTCTGTGAGAACACAAGCCAGCTCATCTGTGCATTCCCTAAGGACACATCCAGGGATGTTATCTGGTCAGAGGTGACATCAAAGCTTAGCACTTGTTCATCAGGATGGGGCACAGCTTTCCTAACAGGAGTGCTATTTGATGCCTCAAATCTACCAGTTTGTTTAGGAAGTCTGTGTCGTCCTTGCATCTCGATGGAGTCATGATAACAGTGTTCCAATATCTTGGCTGCCCCAAAGAAGAATCAGTCAAGTTATTCTCCAAAGCACCTGAAGGCAGGACAAGAAACAATGGATGGAAACTGATCAAGGAGAGAAGCAACCTAGATCTAAGGAGAAATTTTCTGACAGTTAGAACAATTAACCAGTGGAACAACCTGCCTCCAGAAGCCATGAATGCTCAAACACTGGAAGTTTTCAAAAAGAGACTGGACAGCCATTTGTCTGATATGGTATAGGGTTTCCTGCCTGGGCAGGGGGTTGAACTAGATGATCTCCAAGGTCCCTTCCAACTTTATTATCGTCATTATCATGAAAGAAAGAAAGAAAGAAAGAAAGAAAGAAAGAAAGAAAGAAAGAAAGAAAGAAAGAAAGAAAGACAATGTAGTCTTTAATAGACAATGACAATGTAGCAATTTGGACAACAATGGGTGTATGTTCTTCACGAAAGAAATATGATTTAAAAGCTATAACATCAATTGGCCAGCAGACGGTTCATGAGCTTCATAAATATAATTGGGAAAGGATAAGGGGTCTTCTGTTTTTTGGATCTTTTCACTTTGCAGGTTTCTGGAATATTTCAGAAGAAAACATTCCATCGTCTCTTTGCTTTGATCCAGGTCTGGTTGCTTCTGAAGATTCTGTGAGTTTGAATCTATTCTTTTTGGAGAAAACTGTTTATATGGCCCTAGTCTGGAATCAGGACCCACTAATTAAAAACTAAAAAGTCACCCATCCAATCTCCCACCTGGCTCATTCTTAAAATGCAGATAATAAGCTAACCAGCTCATTCCCACCACCCCAATAGGCAGATAAAGATGGCCATGATAGGAAAAATCAAATCTCTTAATCAATGAGGTATCTAGGCATAATTCAGACTATCCTGATCCTTGGTGACATCATCCATCAGGTAATCATAGTGTTATTGTCACCCATGATGGAAGGGCTGTAGAGCTGACAGATGCAATAATTATGATTGTCCTAGACCTGGTTAGGTCAGCCCAGGCTGGGTGGTGCTGTGTCTGCATTCATGTGTCCTGTGTCTTTGCAACACTTCACACTGCATTTGCAAAACTGTTTGGAGCGGAAAAAAGTGCCCACTTCAGACATGTTTAGAATTAGGTAAAGTAGCTGAATTTCCCCCCTGCACACGGCGTCAATAAGAGGCACATTTCCTTCAAGGGTTGCAGTTGTGCATCATGTGCTCTAAATGAGTACACTGTGCATCAAATCAACATGTCACATTGCTGTTGAGTCTTAGTATCTAAGAAAACAAGTTGGAGAGAGGGGAAAAGAGGAAATGAAAGAGAAACTGGGCAAAGGTAGAAAAGATGACATTATCATCATCATCACCACCACTATCATCATCATTATTATTGTTAATGATAATGATGATAATGATAATGATGATGATAATAATAATATAGAGTTGGAAGGGACCTTGGAGGTCTTCTAGCCCAGTCAGGAAACCCTATACCATTTCAGACAAATGGTTGTCCAGTCTCTTCTTAAAAACTTCCAGTGTTGGAGCATTCACAACTTCTGGAAGCAGGTTGTTCCATTGATTAATTGTTCTAATTGTCAGAAAGTTTCTCCTTAGTTCTCAGTAGCTTCTCTCCTTGATCAGTTTCCATCTATGGCTTCTTGTCCTGCTTTCAGGACAAGAGAGTAGCTTGACTCTCTCTTCTTTGGGGCAGCCCCTGAGATATTGGAACACTGCTATCATGTCGCTCCTCGTCCTTCTCTTCATTAAACTAAACATACCCAATTCCAGCAACCATTCTTCATATGTTTTAGCCTCCAGTCCCTTGATCATCTTTGTTGCTCTTCTCTGTACTCTTTCTCCTGTACTCTATATTCATAGAGGTCCATCAAAAGCCCTGAAAAAGAGAAGAGGACAAAAATGCATTTACATGTAACAGTAAAACCCTGGACAGTCTTACTTCCTCCCCATGCAAGTCACAAGGATTCCACTGTGCCCTGAAATGCACACTTTGTCACTTCTCCTCCTGCCTCACCTGTCATCATGGATACCTAAGAAGCTCTCCATTGTAACACTGATTTCTTCAACCCTGTATCCATTTGAACTGAATATCTTATTCCAGAGAAGAGGAGCTTTAGACACAAGATATGAAGATAGGTTTTCCCTCTTGTGTTTGTTCTGATCAAAACAAAGCAAGCAAATAAACTTAGGATAACAAACAAACAATCCTGGCTTTTTAAGGATCCCAATCTGATATCTCTCAAGAATTTTCTCTGCTCAAGAATTTGTTGTGCTGTGCAGAAGGATCAAAGCGAGAGCTCTGGAATGTGAGTAAAGTAGATTGTTGGGTTACTCTTGAAGCTGTACTCGAGTTTAAGAAACAAATTCACAGTTTTGAGGTATTTTCCAACAGAGAAACAGGAGTCAGGACTTCCTCTTTAATCAGACTGCAGATTAAAGGAGCTAGTAAGGAGCTGCTGGAAGTCAGTCCCCAGAGAAGGAAATATTAAAAGGGCAAAATATTATATTTCCTCAAAGGATCTTAAAGAGGCAGAAAAGCATGCCCAGCTTTTTCTTAATAGCCCCAAGTCTCCCTCCCCCAAGCAGAAACCAGCTCTGTAAAAATGCAGATGTAAACCATTCACGAAGGTTGGAGGCCCCCAGCTGGAAGGTTAAGAAGACAGAGACACCTAAAATCTACATACCCCACCCAAATGCTAAGATAGGACATAATAGGATTAACCCACAGATACCAAAAGGCACACGCAGATTCAGGTCAAAGTTCATGCCACAGGAACAACTCCAAACAAAAGGCTCCAGAGGGTATAAAAACCCACTCCCTACATGTGCTGTCTCTCTTTTGTTCCAGAGCCATCTTCCTGTCTGGCTTTCATCTTCAATAAACTGCAACTTTCTTTCTAAAGCAGTCGCCATGTTGTTTATTCCAGGCTTGGACTGAATCATGATGAAGACTTTTTCTTCAACAGAGCCTCATTGAATCTCTTTGCCCTTCTCTCCAACTCTACTCCCTAACTCCAAGGGCTTGGAGTACCTATTTCACCATCTGATTGCTACAGCGGTTCTGATGGTACCTGTTTTTGATCAGCCTCTGGTGATTTCTGCCTGGGTATCTCTTGAGGCTAAAATTCCAGTGGTTCAGTTGAAGCAGCTTCTTCAAAATCTAAGTGGGTCCTGCACCATGAAACTGATGAGGCATAGTGTAGCTGTTTTTGTACTTTTTAGCCATTTTAATATTTTGAATGACTTTCCCCACTCTTTTTGAGGAAAAGGTGCACAATACAAAGCTAAAGTGATATAATTAGGCTCATAAAGCTCTCATGTTGCTCTGATCTTCAAGAGACCATCTGTGGGTGCTACAGGAAACATAGCAGGATACTCCTGAAGCACCTTAGTACTAGCTCTCAGTACTGACTGGAGCCCACACTCATTTCTGCTCCCACCTTGCATGCAAGACTCCCACACCTGTCTCTTTTACTGGCCTCCTGGGAGGGCCTATATATCCATACACCTATCTATTTGTAGGCTAGGAACGTCCTTGCACAGCTTAAGGTTGTGCACCTGTTGCATATATTCTTGGACCAAGAGGCTCTGCTCATGGTCACTCATGCCCACAGGACCTCCAGGCTGGACTACTGCAATGCCCTTTACATGGGACTGCCCTTGAAGAGTGCTTGGAAGCTTCAACTGGGCCATGGCTCCCATAGGCCAATATTCAGCCATTTTGTTCTTTTCAGCCATTTTAGTATTTTGAATGGCCTTCCATGCGCCTTCCGAGAAAAATGTTCACATGCAAAGCTAAAGTGATAGATTTAGCTCCTAGAGCTTTCTTGCCTTATCATTTAAGGTGCCACAGTTGTGGTGCTACAGGAAACACAGGCAGTTGATAGATGTGAGATGTGACTGATCTAAGTTTGCTTTTCCTGCCTTTGTGAGATATACCAGAACTCAAACACACAAAAAAAATGCTTGCTTTGCTGATAAAAAAAGGCCAGCTAGGGAGATGTGTTTGCTTTGATAACCTCTAAAATCATGTGATGCTTTTTTTTTTTTTTGCAAGCATGAGCATAAAAATGCTGGAAAACCTTTGTTCCTGGCCATTTGATTTGGGATTCCCCAAGTGACCTACTCAGGAAAGAATAAAATGGATTTTATCTCCACCCTTGGTGTGATTTATCTATTTGGCTTCATAGAATACTTCACAGTTTCCAACCATTGTTTCTCATCCTTCCTTCTGGTGCTTTGGCGAATAACGTGACCCCCTCTTCTTTGTGGCAGCCCCTCAAATACTCGAATACTGGAACCTTGTTTTATATCTATTCCAAACTCTAGGTATAAACAGATTCTCAAATGCTACTTTTCATTTATCGTACCGTAAATCACCAAATCTCAGTTCATGACCTTAAAACTTCTATCGCCTTTTGATGTGATCGTATCTTCAAGCATTTCCTTTGCATCTTGTGTGCAATAACACATTAAGTTGCAAAGTTCAGAGACACATATTGCACAAGTTCTTTTGTTCTTTCTAAGAAAGTTTGCCGCTTGATCCAGCTCAGTTCCTCTTTCTATGAAGAAGGAACTAACTCCATCAAATGTAGACCAGCGGGATTCATTGAAAAAGATCTCATCCTTAGATTCCCAAAAAAGAGAGACCTGCTTCTGTTTCTTTCTGTTCTGATTCTTCACATTACTGCCAGGTACAGTATGTTCAGTTTTGCTAAATGTTATTTGGAAAGTATTTGAGTTCAAGGTAGGACTTGGGGACCATCAGGATGGGATTAACTGATCCCGCAGGGTCCTCTGGTCAATAACGGAACTCAGTTCAGCAGCATTTTTTTCCAGCATGGTTGACACCAGTCTTCTCATCTCTGAGTCCAGTAAATCTTAATGCGTGTGTGTGTGATTATGACCACTGTGTTAAAGCGATGACTACAAGCGATGGAAAAGAAAACCAGCATAAGTATCTGGAATTTTGCTCAGTGTCTTATGGTGACAGCAATCTTATCGAATATACTATAAAAATTGGGAAAGAAAAAAGAAAGAGAGTGAGAAAGACAGAGAGATAGGAAGGGGAAGGAAGGAAGGAAGGAATGAAGGAAGGAAGGAAGGAAGGAAGGAAGGAGATTAGTGGATGGGCAGGTGGGTGGATGGAACTATGGAATTATTGATGGATGGATGGATGATAGGGAGGAGGGAAGAAAGAGATGAGTGGGTAAGAGAAGGAAGGAAGAAAGGAAGGAAGGAGGGAAGGAGGGAGGGAGGGAAGGAAGGAAAGAAGGAAGGAAGGGGAGAAAGATAGATAGGAGTCAAGAGTTGATGTTTCTCCATGACAACCCATATTGAAAAAGCTGACTAGACAATGTAGCAATAGAACAGAACAGAACAAAACAGAACAGAATAGAATAATAACTTTATTGTCATTTTGAATGTACACTAATCGGCATACATTAAAATGAAATTTCATTACATTGTTCTCAAAGGGTCATCACCTCCAATATACACTACATAAATGTGACATAAATAAATAAAGAAAGAATTATGCATATACCCACATATATTATATGACATAGAGAAACAACAGTCTAGTTCGGGTTATGTTTACAGGTGCATGGTGAGAAAAAAAAATCTTGAGAGTTTACCATATAGATGGCAGAGGGAATGAAGCTATTACAGAATCAGGTAGTCCTGCTAGAAATACTTTGAAACCTCGTCCCAGAGGGGAGCAACAGAAACAGAACATAAAGTGGGTGTGTGGGGTCTCTAGCGATGCTTTGAGCTCTAAGCAGATAGCGCTTATAAGCAGCATCCTGAATACCAGGGAGCGAGCTTCCTATGGTCTTCTTGGCTGTCCTTACCACTCTCTGTATGGACTTTCTATCTGAAGCACTGCTGCCACCAAACCAGACAGTGATACAGTTCGTTAAAATGCTCTCAGTCGTGCCTCTGTAAAAAGTGGCCAGGACAGAAGGATAAAGATGTGCTCTCCTCATCCGATGCAGGAAATGCAAATGCTGGTTTGCAAGCTTCACTAAGGATGATGTGTGGAGAGACCAATTCAGTTTGTTAGTTATCTGCACCCCCAGATACTTAATGCCGTTGACCCCCCTCTACAGCTGCATCCTTGATTCTGAGTGGAGTATGATTATGCCGGCTCTTACTAGGATCTTCATGACAATAAATATGATTTAAAAACCATAACGCCACTTGTGCAGCAGGTGTTCATGAGCTTCATTAATATCACTGTGAAAGGACAAGGGGATTTCAGCTCCTTCGTCTCTTTACTTTGCAGGTTTCTGGCATATTTTCCTTTCATACATTCCATCATTTCTTTGTTTTGATCCAGGCTTGATTGCTTCTGAAGTTTGTGTTTACTCTTTTGGGACAACTGTTTACATAGCCACAGTCCTTTGAAAGAATGTTGAAAGAAACTTAAAAATTATTTCTGGCATTTCTTGCAAATCTTAGTTCCTTCTGAGCCTTAACTTTCCTGATTTTATCCTTGTAGATTCAGGCTATTTGCTGGTATTCTGTTTTAGTTATATGCCCCCTCTTTCCATTTTTTATACTTGTCCTTTTTTCCCTCTCAGTTTTTCACAGTTCTTTATGCAACTATGCCTTTTTTCCCTCTCAGTTTTTCACAGTTCTTTGTGCAACTATCACCTGCAGTCTCTTGTTTTTCTTTCTCTGTGTAATGTGTTAGATTGGACTTTTATAATCTCATTTTTCAGAGTTTTTCAAGAATTGAGTTGTCTTTGGCTTTAGGATTTGAGCATGGGGCTCTTTCACCCAGAATTTAATTCAGCTGAATGCAGCATGCAGAGGACAGCCACAGTGGTGTGCACTCTTTGTTCACGGATCCTGTCTGGAAAATGCAAGGCACCTGCACAAATGATGCTCGGGACACTGCTGATGTTTGCTGTCCTTTGTTGTTTGCTGCTCACTTCAGGTAGATGCAGAGACAAAGCCAGGTGTGTTAGTGTGATGCCAGATGCCCCAGAAGTAGAGCTGCATGGCACAACAGCATCCCATGTGGTTCACCTGACATGCTTGCTCTACCAAATGCAGTGCTCCCATTTCTGAGTTCACCTGATACATAGAAACCAAAAACATTCCTACAGGTTGAATTCACACAGCTTCTCCTGACTATTAGCTGGACGCTAAAAGATTTTGTTCAAGGAATAATATTTAGAAATAGCTATGGGGAAACCCCTGGTTGAACCTTAGAGTAAAGACCAAATCTGGGCAGGAGCTTTGAAAACATCTCTCTGTAGCTGCCAAGGAAGTCCCAATAAATCATTGGGATGTGTTATTTCTCTTTATGAGCAGATGATTCTGCATTTGAATGTGTTCAATTAAATATAAAGATCTTTTAGCTGACCAAACAGCCAGTGAAATCAGTGTCTAGGATTCCTTAAAGAACTCCCTGTATGCAAACTGTGTTTGCACAACACAGAAATCAATCTTTCTGGCTGGTTGTACTCTTAAGGCAGAGAATCAGTGCTCCGGAACTCATAAGTTCAACTTGTGTCATCATGACTGGCAATATCAGAGAAGATGAACTAAGATGGTCAAAGGCTTGGAGGCTAAAACATATGAAGAACGGCTGTGGGACTTGGGTTTGGCTAGTCTAAAGAAAAGAAGAAATAAGGGAGACATGATAGCAGTGTTCCAATATCTGAGGGGCTGCCACAAAGAAGAGGGGGGCAGGTTGTTCACCAAAGCATCAGAGGGAAGGGCGAGAAACAATGGTGGGAAACTGATCAAAGAGAGAAGCAACCTGGAATTAAGGAGAAACTTCCTAACAGGGAGGACAATCAACCAATGGAACAGCTTGCCTTCAGAGCTCCATCACTGGATATTTTTAAGAAGAGACTAGACATTCACCTGTCTGAGATGGTGTAGGTTCTCCTGCATGAGCAGGGGGCTGAACTAGAAGACCTCCAGGGTCCCTTCCAGCTCTATACTATTCTCAATATTGAGAACATCTGGAAGATCATAAATTCTACATGCCAGTTTTAGGCGAATCAAAACTCAATCCAAAGAGCAATGTGTTCCTGCATAGGTAAAGGAGGCATAATTCAACATGCTAAGACCCCTGTTGGATTAATCAAGTTTAATATTAGTTTACAAATTTGCTTCTAACATTGGCCAAGCAGATGTTTATAGGATGTGTGCAGAGAGAGGCATATGCCTCCCCCTTTGCTGTTGCTATGAATCAATTTTATTGTAATATATTTTTCAGTGTTGTGAGCTGCACGTAGTCATTGGGTATAAGGCTAGCATACAAGTTCAATAAATGATAGTAGGTTGCTCAGTCAGCCAGATGTTTAGACTAGATTTGGCATTTTTATCCACCTATCAAATCCTTATCAAGGACCTGTGATAGGCAGAAGTTGTTGTTTGATGGAGTTAAAGGTCTTCTGGCAGGATTAAGCTTTTCCGAATAAAGCTTGTCAAGGCTGATGGTGGTGCACCAGATGTTTTGGGATTGCACCCAAAGCACCTATTGCATCTAACAACAACTTTATTGCATGATTACTTGTTTTCAGTCTTTGCATATTTGTGACTAGTAAAAAAAAATCTCTTCCCTTAATCCTGCAGCTGTTGGTCCTGGTTGCTCCTGAATCCTTTAGCCTACTGGGAACCAGATTCCAGGAGCTCCAGCTTCTAGTGTTCTTGTTGACCCAGGCAGCAACAGATTTGGTATGAATTTCTGTACAGTAAGCCACATTTCATTGTTTATAGGAGAGGCACTCTTCATCTAAAGATAGTCCTCAGGATATGACCACAATTGAGCCCCAAATTTATGTGGCTAACTGAAAAGTGTGTTAAGTGAGTTGGCCCCACTTTACGACTTTCCTTGCCACAGTTGTTAACTGAATCATTGCACTTGTTAAGTTAGTAACACTATTGTTAAGTGACTCTGGCTTCCTCATTGACTTTGCTCAACAGAAGGTTGCAAAAGGGGATCATATGGGCCAGGGGTGACATGACAGCAGTCTTCCAATATCTCAGGGGCTGCCCCAAAAAAGAGGGAGTCAAGCTATTCTCCAAAGCACCTGAAGGTAGGACAAGGAGCAACGGGTGGAAACTAACCAAAGAGAGAAGCAACCTAGAACTAAGGAGAAACTTCCTGACAGTTAGAATAATTAACCAGTGGAACAGCCTTCTTCCAGAAGCGGTGAATGCGCCAACACTGGAGGTTTTAAGAAGAGACTGGACAGCCATTTGTCTGAAATGGTATAGTATTTCCTGCCTGAGCAGGAGTTGGACTAGCAGACCTCCAAGGTCCCTTCCAACTTGATGCTGCTGCTGCTGCTGCTGCTGCTGATCATCATCATCATTATCATTATATAATTATTATTATATTGTTATTATTATTATTATTATTATTATTATTATTATTATGTTATTATTATTATTATTATGTTGTTGTTGTTATTATTATTATTATTATTATTATTATTATGTCCTAAGTTAGTCAGTTCGAAGATAAGATAGAGATGAATCTATGGCAATTACAGAGGAATTATTAAATCCCCAACTTCTTTCTTTTCTTCTAATAGAAACTTCCCTTTTAAAAGAAAAGACTCGTGGCGCATTACAGAAATCCTCTGATGAATATCAGCCTGCCAAACATGAATGCTACGGAAATGACCGTGACTGCCAATTTTTCCCACGACTGCAGAAACACTTCTGACTATTCTAAATGTATCATAACCACCGTCATGTTAATCATTTGCTTCATTGGAATCCCGTTAAACGGGATTGTCATCTGGCTTTTGGGCTTCCAGATTAAGAGAAACCCTTTCACTGTGTTGATTCTTAATTTAGCCATTGCCGACTTTGGACTCCTTCTATGTATGTCTATATATTACATTGATACTGTTACGGGTTTTATATCCTCAAAGATTCCTTGGTACATATTTTTCTCTCTCCTCCACATTATGTATCTCAGCGGTATGTTCCTTCTTACGGCCATCAGCATTGACCGGTGTGTGGCTGTCCTCTTCCCAATCTGGCATCGCTGTTCCCGGCCAAAATCTTTGTCCTCTGCCATCTGCGCTTTCCTCTGGATCTTTTCTTTTCTTCTGATCGGGATGCTGAACATTACGCAACATGTATTTAAATACAGACATTTCAGTCTTGATTTGGTGGTGACTGTGGTGCTTTGCGTTCCTTTGATCACCATCTCGACTGTGATCGTATTCACCAAAATGGGTTTTAAATCTAAGCAGATGAAACGCCGAAGGCTTTTACTGATGATCTTAATTACACTTCTCTGCTTCCTTATTCTAACTCTTCCTTTAGATATCTTTGTGTTCATTACTCACTTTTTTCGCTTGACGTACTGGCTTCAACATGGTGAATTTGATACCTGTTTTAATCTGTGTTCGTCCCTAAACTGCAGCGTTAACCCAGTGATCTATTTTCTGGTTGGGAGAAAGAAACGACTTCAGTCCAGAGAGAATGTCAAGGTCATTTTTCAAAGAATCTTCAAGGAAGAGGAAGCTCCTGAAACCTGATAGACATTTACAACACAGGTTCAAACCCTCTGTAAAAACATAATCTTAGCTTGCCTCTAATGCTGGGTATCTCTTGCTACAGAAATAAAATATATATGTTTCCCTCCAATAAGAATGTTACAAGAGTTCATCGTGATGATTGAGGAAAGGCGTGAGGAGCAAGAATTTTTCCTCCACTATGGGAGAGAAAGAGAGACAATGGGAGAGAGAATATGTGTGAGAGAGAATAAGAGAGAGAGAGAATGGGAGAGAGTAAGAGAGAGAAAGAGAGAGAGTGTGAGACAGAGAATGCGTGTGAGAGAGAGAGTCAGAGAGAGAGAATGGGAAAGAGAATAAGAGAGAGAAAGAGAGACTATGTACCAGGAACCATTCTACTAAATTAGCAAACTGATGATACAGGTAGTCCTCAACTTATGACCACAACTGAGCGCATAATTTCTCTTGTTAAGTGAAACATTTGTTAATTTGCAAGTCATTTTATGACTTTCCTTGCCACAGGTTGTTCCACTGATGAATTGTCATGTCAAGCCTCCCCTTTCTACATCGCTTCTTGTTGATTATCTTAGCAAGCCAAGGACCACCTATTTATGTCAGGTGCTGCTGATTAGAGAAAGTACAGGCTTCAAACTCAAACGTAAAGGATGAAGATTTCCCCCTTACACTTGTGTCTGACTCTAGAACAGGGGTGTCAACTGCCGACCCACGGCCGGATGCATCACCAGGAAACTGCGCCCACCCTATTGCCAGCAATGGAGAAAATGCTTTGACATGTCGCGCGACATCACGTGACGTCCCGAGTTTGATATATCTGCTCTAGAGGATGGTGCTCATCTCTGTTTCTTAGATGAGGAAGGCAGAGTTGTCTAAAGACACTTTCATGGTCACGTGGCCAGTGTGACTCTATCCGAGGTGCATGGAACACTGTTACCTTCCCAACGAAGCAATACTGTAGTAATTTACAGTATCTACTCACATTTGCATGCTTTTGGACTGCTAGGTAGCCAGAGGTTGGGGTAAGAACAATAGCTCTCTAGGTAGCATGGTGTTCAGGCCTCAAACTTGGGCTATCAGCTTTCCAGTTGACAAGCTCATCGTTTTTAATTTGTTTTAAACAAATAAGTACAGAGAAGATATCTAGGAGATGTTTTCAGATTGTCTTAAAGCCCAGGTCATAGACCATAATATGAAAGCACTGATTACAGCAATGGAGAACAAAACCAGCATAAATATATGGGTAGAATTGTGCGGGGACAGCAATCTTATCAAATAAACTATACAAATAAGAAGGAAGGAAAGAAAGAAAGAAAGAAAGAAAGAAAGAAAGGAAGGAAGGAAGGAAGGAAGGAAGGAAGGAAGAAAAGAAAGAGAGGGAAGGAATAATAATAATAATGATGATAAAGTTGGATAATAATAATAATAATAATAATAATAATAATAATAATAATAATAATAATTCCATCCTGCGACGATATCTATAATACCATCAAACATCCACATCTGCCTATCCCAGGTCCTTGGGAAGGACTTGATAAGTAGACAAAAATGCCAAATCCAGTCTGAACATCTGGCTGACTGTGCAATGATTAATAATAATAATAATAATAACAACAACAACAACAATAATAATAAAGTTGGAAGGGACCTTGGAGGTCATCTAGTCCAACCCGCTGCTCAGGCAGGAACCCTATACCATTTCACACAAAAAGCTGTCAAGTCTCTTCTTGAAAACTTCCAGCATTGGAGCATTCACCGCTTCTGGAGGCAGGTTGCTCCACTGGTTAATTGTACTAATGGTCAGGAAGTTTCTCCCTATATTCTAGGTTGCTTCTCTTCTTGATTAATTTCCATCCGTTGCTTCTTGTCCTGCCTTCAGGCACTTTGGAGAATAGCTTGACTGTCTCTTTTTTGTGGCAGCCCCTGAGATATTGGAAGATTCCTGTCAGGTCCCCCCTCGACCTTCTCTTCATTAAACTAGACATTCCCAATTCCAGCAACCGTTCCTTATATGTTTTAGCCAATGGTGGGATTCAAATATGAGAACAACCGGCTCTCTGTGTGGATGCCACTTCCCAAGCTCTCTCCAAGTTTATTGAAATTAGCTCTCTGGGTAAGCATCATCCATCGGATAACCATACTGCTATGGTCATCCACAATGGAAGGGCTGCAGAGCTCACACTTCCTCGTTCAGTTGCCCAGCTACTCCCGTTTGGTCTGACATATGTTGGAAAAGAAGAGGAAGGTGAATTCAGCATTCCACCATCTCTGCTTGTTAAGCTTCTCAGACTGTCAAACTCAACCAAGATGGCCAAACGTGACCAACAGAGCTTCTTTTTCAAATCCTAAGGTCAGAAGTAGGTACTCTGCTCCCCACATTAAGCCCCAAACTCTGTTGTCCTTTGCTTCAATGGGAGGGGCTAGTGGAGATCATACAGGGTCAACTCCATCCTCAACCATGTACACTCATTGGGGAAAATGAGAAAATTTTATAAGGTCCAAAGAAAACAACTAGGATAAGTAGGTCTCACCCATACTAGGCTTTGCTTGTAATGTCCAAAATTTGTCATACATGGGAGGAGCAGGTCATATTAAGCAGATCTTCTGCAAAATAATATTCTTTCTGTTCTGGGATGGGTAGGCAGATCTTGTTAAAAGTCACACCCAATGAGATATATTCTTTATCTTACACAATCAAAGTGAGCACCAAGCGACAAGACCATCTGGTTGTTGTTTCTCTCTCTCTCTTATTCTCTTATTCTCTTTCCCATTCTCTCTCTCTCAATCTCCCTCGCACACATTCTCTCTCTCCCACTCTCTCTCTCTTTCTCTCTCTTATTCTCTTTCCCACTCTCTCTCTCTTATTCCCTCTGTCACACACATTCTCTCTCTCCCATTCTCTCTCTTTCTCTCTCTTATTTTCTTTCCCATTCTCTCTCTTTCAATCTCTCTCACACACATTCTCTCTCTCCCACTCTCTCTTTCTCTCTCTTATTCTCTTTCCCATTCTCTCTCTCAATCTCTCTCTCACACATTCTCTCTCCCACACGCTCTCTCTCTCTTATTCTCTCTCTCACAAACATTCTCTCTCTCCCACTCTCTCTCTTTCTCTCTCTTACTCTTTCCCATTCTCTCTCTCTTACTCTCTCTCACACATATTCTCTCTCCCATTCTCTCTCTTTCTCTCCCATTCTCTCTCTCATTCTCTCTCAATCTCTCATTCTCTCTCTCTTTCTCCAGCATGATTGGATGGAGAACCCACGGATGGGTTGTCTTAATCTATCTGCTCCAATTAGACTAAGTCTGAAATTTAGTACCGCCCCCTCTGTGCCAACTGCACCCCAGTTTTAGACTTAGTCTCTTTGCTCTAAGACGCATTTTTTCTTCGCTCCTGGAGCAGAAGACTGTGTATTCCTATTTTATTTCATCCCAACCTGTAGCCTAGCAGGCTGACAGGCTGACAAAACCTCCCTTTGGGGGGGGGGAACTTTCCCTTTCTCCCTTTGAGAGCCTTTCAGCTTCACAATCAGCTTGAAAATTGGATTCCCAGAAGCAAGAGAAATCTCCTACCAGGGGCCGTTCCTCTGCATCAGAGGCTCCATTCTTCTAACCAGAGCCTGGAGGCCTTAGAGGCAGGGGTAAGCTTGCCAATTGACTGGGGGGCTCCGCAAGGGACGACGAGGCTCATCAGGCCTGGAGGGAGCCTTTTCTAGGTCCCTCGGCCTCAGCAGACCGCCCCAGCAGCAGGAGAAAGTTTTTGGCACCAATCCAATTTTCAGAGCCTGGAGGCCTTACTAGGCCTCAGCCTGCCTCAGCCTCTCTCAGCTCACCTAATTGTAATCCATTCGCTGCGTTAGGAGCCCAAGCGATTCCTCGGAACGAGGGCTCATTGCAGCTTAGGCCACAGGCCTCAAGGCCTTCTTCTTCTAATGGCCTTTTTTTTTGGGAATCCATTTGCTGCGTTAGGAGCCCAAGCGATTCCTCGGAACGAGGGCTCATTGCAGCTTAGGCCACAGGCCTCAAGGCCTTCTTCTTCTAATGGCCTTTTTTTTTGGGAATCCATTTGCTGCGTTAGGAGCCCAAGCGATTCCTCGGAACGAGGGCTCATTGCAGCTTAGGCCACAGGCCTCAAGGCCTTCTTCTAACTGCCGTTTTTTGGGCACGAACTCTGCGGCCGCCATTTTGAATTGACTCACGGTGGCCATTTTGTGTGTGACTGAGGCCCAGACTGCCTGGAGTTTCTCCTGAAGGCAGTGTTCATCACCGGTGGCAGAGGCTTCGAGACTACAGCATTGAACCGGGGAGGGCCTGTTCGCTCCCAAGGGACGCAGTGCCCATTAATTCCCTGCCCCCCCCTCATGGGCTGAATCATCTCTGCAGGCTCCCTTGGTGAGTTACAGCGCCGAGGGGGGGCATTTTGCCAAGGTTGAGCCCAGAGCAACTCATCATGGCAGAGAAAATCAGCGAGCCGGCCAAGAGGAAACGCCAAACAGAGGCAAGTGGAAAGAACACCACCAAGCGAGCCCGGCCAAGCAGGGAGCCACAGAGGGAGGAGGAGTCCCAAAGACTGAGAGCGGCCTCCCCAGATCTGACAGGCACGATGGGAAGGTCCATTTTTGAACCCCTTTCCTCACATTGTGCCTCAGCCCCAGGGGCCTGGTCTCCCCCCAGGGGAATTCCCTAATTAGATTTAACCACAAGAGGGACCCAGGGAGGGGCATAACCAACCAGGACACCCCAGGACCCAGGCCACGTTCACCCCCACTGCAGCAGGGCTTTGCCCTCCTGAGAACCAGGCCTTGAACTCGGACCTCCTTCAGTCCATGATAGCCCAGGCTGTGGCTCAGTTTATGGCCTCCAACACCCCACAGCCACCCCCCCAGGCCACGTATCATCCACAATCTCCAGATTTGATGGAGGATCCCTCATCGGATTTGGAATCTACAGGGGCTGAACAATCTGGCCTGATTTTGTTTGAGGACGAGGGCATCACTCCCTCTGACCCCACCCCTCCTGTCGGTCTCTTTGACCATTCATTCTTTAATTCCCTGCTACTCAGGGCCTGCACTACTGCAAACCTCCCCCAAGAACAGGAGACCCCACCTACAATGTCCAAGGGTCCCCACGCCATATACACCGAGCCCTCAGTCTCGCAGAACAATATTCCCTGCCCTCCCCTTTTTCTGAATATAGTTCAAGAACAATGGGAGAACTTAGGATCCTTCTTAAGCCCCGGTGCAGTAGAGGGAACATTATTCAATGTTGCCCGTTCTCTGGCCTCCCTATTGGAGATTCCTGAGATTGATGAGCCTTGAACTCATTGTTTCCCAATGCTAACATCCCTGGGGACATAAATGAGGCACTTAGGGCGGAGGATAAAAAGATTGACTCCGCATTGCGTAGTTCCCATCTGGCATCAGCCTGGGCAACAAAGGCGGCAACGTCCATGGCCTTCTTCGCCAGGGCTTCAGCCCTTGGGTTACGTGAGCTCCAGGACAGGATCCCTCCGGACCAGCTCAGAGCTCACCAAAATCTGGGTAAGTTAGTGGCTACATCCCAGTACCTAGCCGACGCTTCTCTGCACATGGCTAGATACACTGCCAGACCATTGCTGCAGACATCTCAGCACGAAGGCTCCTTTGGCCCAGGAATTGGCGAGCAGACACCAAGACCAAGTGGTGTCTGGCCTCTAAACCTTACACAGGTGGACATCTCTTTGGTAAGGCACTAGAACCATACTTAAGTGAAGGTAAGGACAAACGTAAAACTCTGGTTAACTCATGTCACAGAGCAGTTACAGGAGGCTGCCTTTCAACCAGCTCCATCCTGGGACTGGGCCCAGGCATCCCTCTATTCCTTTCAGAGACAAGAACGACAGCAGGATCATTCAGCATGCAGAAGCAGACCACAGATCCAGGCCAAGCGGCCCCTTCAAGGCCGAGGGGCCATTCCTCTAAACGAGGCAAGTGATCTCACAGTCTCACTTCCCATAGGAAGCCAGTTGGCCCCTTATTCCAGCACTTGGACAGCCATCACTACAGATGCATGGGTGTTAGACACTGTCATGCAAGGTTTGAGACTAGAATTTTGTTCTCAACCACCTGACAAATTCTGCTCTTGCCCTATCCCAATGAGCAGGTCCAGGGCTGACTTTATGTCAGAGGCCATAGCTCATTTATTACAAATATGAGCAATTGAACCAGTACACAAGACCAAGAAGGACGAAGGTTTTACTCAAACCTCTTCATCATCCCTAAGACTTGGGGGGCTGGAGGGCAATCTTAGACTTGAAAGGTCTAAACCTTACTTGAGGTATAAGAAGTTTAAGATGCAACCACTTTAATCAGTCCTGGCCAGCATCAGGCAAGGTGACTTTCTTACCTCAATAGACCTAACTGAGACATGTTTCCTAACCACTGCAAATTCCTCAGATTCAGCTATGCCCACTACCAGTACAGAGCCCTACCATTTGGCCTCTCATCGACACCGAAGGTATTTACAAGGTACTGGCAGTGCTCGCAGCCCACCTTAGACAAATTCCAATCAGAATTCAATGCTATTTAGATGACATATTAATTCAGTCATCATCATTCCGAAATGCTCAGTCAGACCTCGCCCTAGCCATCAAGGTCTTTCAGGAGCACGGGTTTTCTGTTAATTTCCAGAAAAGTCATACAACAACCCGGCTCCTCCATTTGGGCGCTGTTATAGACACGGACAATTGTACGGTCTACCTATTTCAGGACCGAAGGAACTCTTATTCAGACTCTTGTATGTCGGATCCAAAGGGCCACAGTAGTCACATTGGCCTCCCTATCACAGCTACTGGGGAAGACGGTGTCCTGCGTGCAAATTGTGCCATGGGCACGCCTCCATGCCAGAGAATTACATGGCTTCTCTTTCCATTTCAGAGACTTGAACTCCCTTAAATGGTGGGACTCCCCGGCGCTGTCACGGGGAGCAGTATTAGAACCAGACAGGATTACCATTACCACAGATGCAAGCCTGTTTGGGTGGGGGGTACACCTCCACACGCACTGGGCTCAAGGTCGGTGGTCCAAACAGGCCCTAAAGAACAATATAAACTGGCTGGAACTCAGAGCCATACATATGGCCCTAAAGGGATTCACCAATATAGTACAGGGCCAACATGTCCTGATTTTAACCGACAACATTACAGCCAAGGCCCACGTCAACAGACAAGGGGGGACAAGGTCCAGGCCTCTCATGCAGGAGGCCAAATTGCTGGGGTCCTGGGGGGAACTGAATCTTGCCTCCATCAGGGCGGAGCACATATCCGGAGTGACCAACCAGCAGGCGGACTCACTGAGCTGAGCAACCATGGACCATTCTGAATGGCAGCTGGATCCAAAGGTGTTCAGAGAGATCGTGGACAGGTTTGGTTCCCCAACCTTAGACTTTTTGCCTCCCCCACCAACTCACAACTTCCCAGATTCCTTTCCGGGTTCCCACCTCCATCAGCAGAGGGAACAGATGCGCCACGATCAGGAAGATCCTTCGCGAACGAGCAGAGGTCCTCCTGGTTGCGCCGCATTGGCCGAGATGCTCTTGGTTGCCGACCTGATGGAGCTCTCCGCATCATTTCCATGGAGGATCCCAGCAAATCGCATCTCCCACATTCAGGGGGAACTACGCCATCCAGACCCTCAATGACTCCAGTTAACCGTCTGGCACTTGAGAGGCAGGCCTTAGGCTGAGACTCATATTCGTCAAGGGTCATAGCTATGATTCAGCAATCCAGGCGACCCTCGACGAATAGAATATACGATGCCACATGGAGAGACTCCTGTAATTGGTGTTCAGTTCGAAAAATTGACCTTTTGGCGGTTTCAATGCCAGTTATCTTGGAGTTCCTGAGGGATGGTCTAGACAAAGGGCTTTCCACAAGCACCATTCGCAGGCAGATAGCAACACTTGCCACAGTTATTTCCTGTGGCAATGAATCCTTAACACATTACCCTATGATACGCTCCTTCCTAAAAGGAGCTAACAACGTCAGACCATCAACTGTACATAGATACCCCTCGTGGGATCTTCATCAGGTTTATAGGCTCTTGTTTCGCACCCTTTGAACTATTGACACTGGTTTGTTTAAACAGTTATCGATGAAGGTGGAATTTCTTGTTGCTGTAACTTCAGCGAGAAGGATATCTGAACTGGCTACTCTTCAGTGAGGAAGGACCTGTGTACGTTCCATAAGGACAGGGTAACCCTTAGGCTAGGCCCCTCCTTCGTGCCTAAGGTCAAGTCCTTGTATCCTAGATCTCAGGAAATAGTTTTGCCGGACTTCTGTCCTAACCCATCTAATGACATAGAGGTTCAGTGGAACAAATTGGATGTGCGCAGGGCTTATATTGTTATATACAGAGAACCTCATCTTTCCACAGAACAGAGGCTCTGTTTGTGTCCCATCACTCTTCATCACTAGGTCAGAAGGTTTCTTCAACCACAATACCCAGGTGGATTAGAGTTTGTATTTCTCTGGCATACCAGTCTCAGTCACTGCAAGATCCCAGGCATATCACGGCCCATTCCACCGGGGCGCAGCTACTACAGCTGCCTGGTCTACTCAGGCCTCCGTAGAGGGAATTTGTAGAGCAGCAACATGGGCATCGCCCTCTTCCTTTGTCTGTCACTACAAGAGGGATATATATGCATCTTCTACGGCTTCATTTGGCCGCAAGGTTCTAGAACACGCATTAACGTTGGATGGGACCCAGGCCCAATCTAATTCCCCACCCTAGGGACACAGGGCTTTGGTATGTCCCATCCGTGGGTTCTCCATCCAATCATGCTGGAGAAAGGGGCGTTGTCTTACCTGAACGCCTTTTCTCAGCATGATGATGGAGAATCCACTCCCTCCCATTAGGTCAGTTGGCCTGGTTCCCATATTGTTCAGACGCGTCGGACTAAAGTCTGAGTATCGCCTTAGCCTAAAACTTGGGTGCAGTTGGTACAGAGGGGGCGGTACTAAATTTCAGACTTAGTCTAATTGGAGCAGATAGATTAAGACAACCCATCCGTGGATTCTCCATCATCGTGCTGAGAAAAGGCGTTCAGGTAAGACAACGCCCCTTTCTCTCTCACACACATTCTGTCTCTTTCCCATTCTCTTCATTCTCTCTTCAATTCTCTCTCTCTCTCCCTCTCATTCTCTCTCTTATCCTTTCTGTTCCAGGATGGGTAGGCAGATCTTGAGAAAAGTCTCACACAGTGAGATATATTTTTTATTTTGCATAATCTCTGTGAGTATCAGTGATAAGACAATCTGGTTCTTGTTTTTGCAAGATAATCACCAACTGTAGAATAAGGAGGCTGCTATGAGCCTTGGCTGTCAAGTTCAGTTCTGAAAAGGAACTGAAGAAGTGTGTTGGCTGAGAAGCAAAATGTTTTCAAAGAAAAAAACAGAGTCCAAGAGAGTCCAGCTGCCTTTTGGAAAAGCATCTTTAGGAGATAGTCAGAGAGACAAAGACATTAAGCTTCTTACAATGTCAACAGCATATAAAGAAAATCTTTATAAAATGTTCTAGCATTTTATGTACAAAGATAAATCTGTTAAATGCTGGAAATGTAATCAAACACCAAGTTTGTACTATCACATGTGGTGGACATGTCCCAAAGCAAAATAAAATAAAATAAAATAAAATAAAAATATTGGAGTAAAATACATATTTCTGGGCCCAGTACTCTTCAACATCTTCATCAACGATTTGGATGAAGGGATAGATGGGGAACTCATCAAATTTGCAGACGACACCAAGCTGGCAGGAATAGCCAACACTCCAGAAGACAGGCTTAAGATACAGAAGGATCTGGACAGACTTGAACACTGGGCACTAACTAACAAAATGAAATTCAATGGTGAAAAAAGCAAGGTTCTACATTTAGGCAAGAAAAACCAAATGCACAAGTACAGCATAGGTGGCACCATGCTCAATAGTAGTAACTGTGAGAGGGACCTCGGAGTCCTAGTAGACAATCACTTAAATATGAGCCAGCAGTGTGCTGCAGCTGCCAAAAAGGCCAACACAGTGCTAGGCTGCATTAACAGAGGGATAGACTCAAGATCACGTGAAGTATTAATACCACTCTTCAATGCCTTGGTAAGGCCACACTTGGAATACTGCATCCAGTTTTGGTCACCACGATGCAAAAAAGATGTTGAGACTCTAGAAAGAGTACAGAGAAGAGCAACAAAGATGATTAGGGGACTGGAGGCTAAAACATATAAGGAACGGTTGCTAGAATTGGGTATGTCTAGTTTAACGAAGAGAAGGACACGGGGGGACATATTAGCAGTATTCCAATAACTCAGGGGCTGCCATAAAGAAGAGGGAATTAAGCTCTTTTCCAAAGCACCTGAAGACAGGACAAGAAGCAACGGGTGGAAACTAATCAAGGAGAGAAGCAACCTAGAACTAAGGAGAAACTTCCTGACAGTGAGAACAATTAATCAGTGGAACAGCTTGCCTCCAGAAGCAGTAAATGCTCCAACACTGGAAGTTTTTAAGAAGAGACTGGACAGCCACTTGTCCGAAATGGTATAGGGTTTCCTGCCCAAGCAGGGGGTTGGACTAGATGACCTCCAAGGTCCCTTCCAACTTTACTACTATTATTATTACATATATGGTTGGAAGCAATGATAAAACAACATATAGATTTAAAAAAGAGTTATTCCTACCGGGCATGTTACCAGGAAATTACAATAAAGGCAATATTTATTTAGTTTTACATATTTTAACAGCAGCTAGGATAGTATATGCACAATTTTGGAAAAATGAAGAAACTCCTACAGAAGAGAACATAATTAAAAAAATACTGGAATATGCAGAGAAGGATAGATAGGTTAATGTTGAAAATTAAAGAAAAAGAAGAAATGGAATATTATATGACATGGGGGTTATTTTACCAATGGTTAGTTGACAAAAACAGAGGTTAGAAAGTTGGAGATATCAGAACATGTGGAGTACATAAACAAGACTTATAATGGATTAGTAAATAACTTGATTGTTATACAACTAATGTTAATGTGGGTAATACTATTTTTTAATATTTTTATTTCTATTTCTTAGTATATGATTGCATCGTGATAAGATTATTATGGATGCAATGATTATTATATCTTACCTAGACAACACACTGTTCAATATAGAAATGGAATTTTTAAAATAAGAATAATAATAAAAAATATGTTAAAAAAAGTTAAGCTTCATTATCTCCATCCTCATATTTCCAATAACTGAAGAGGGGAAATAAATGTTAAGGAGAAAATAGTATCAAAAGAAAAGGACAGACTGTACACTTGAATGACTGTGATCAGCTGGGTCTCTTCTCCAGTGGCCAAAGTCCCCTTTATCAGCTGAGAAACCCAACTGTCAGTGAAGTTTTGTTCTTTGGTCTTCTCACATCAGTCAGCAAATAATCTACCTAATCAGAACATCTTAAAAGAAATATAATCTGGAGAACCATTTCCCCTGTTCCCAAAAAGCGTTGTTTATAAGGAGATGCTACACTTTCTGAACAGTCCTTCAGAATTTAACTCTATCTGACATGGCTTTTGGTTCCCTTGCCCTAGTAAGCTCAAGGAAATTCTCTTAGTTCTAGGCTGACTGTTGGCGATCATCTTAAATAACTAAGGACCCCATCTGGGTGTCACATGGTGCTAGATACATCTTGATGTCACATGGTGCTAGATTCTAATTAGACAGGACACAGAGTATTTGTGGATCTTTCAGAGTTTCTTTTTCATACAGAAGCAAAAGCTCTCCACGTTTTCTGCAGGAGATTGATCCTCACTTGCTTATGGTGACACTCAACCCTGTGCTTTATACAAAAAACATCTCTGAAGATTTCTGCTCAGGCTCCACTTCCAGGTATATCCGAATCCACAGACAATTCTTTGAATCTTGTATCTCAAGATAGGGTTGATGGACTTCCCTTCTGTTGACGAACTTCATCTAAATAGAACTTAGAAATATTTTGCCTGCAGGTCCTGCCATCCTCATGTTCTTCAACCCACAACGGTGACACAATAATTTTCTATTCACCAACTTTGAAGAGTTTGGACCATCTCTTTCAGGTACGTTATAATTTTGGAAAGTTTAATTAGAGCCAGTGATATGCAGATAGAGTAATAGCCATTTCTTCAGCAGCTGTGTATTTCTATACCTGATATTTATATGTTGACTGTCATATCAGTCTCAGCTGAGGTTTCCTGATCTTGACTCATTTTCCAACGGACTTTTAGCCATCATGACAGAGAAATACAAGTATGTCAGAAGTAAACAAACTGTCTGAAACCCAAGATCAGGGGAATAAGATGTTCCTTGAGCTAACCCATAATTGTTTTTCATCAGTTTTGGCTCTTCAGTTCTCTATAAAAATTCATCCCATTTTTTTGTGTATCAGCTGGTAAAGTTCTAGTTAAACACCAAAGGTTTTCACACAAACTTACAGGAAATCTTCTATACTTAACTAACAAAGGAGGGAACCAACCTAAAACTGAGAAATTTCCTGACAGTGAGAACAATTAACCAGTGGAACAGCTTGCCTTTAGATGTTGTGGGTGCTCCAACACTGGATGTTTTTAGAAGAGATTAGACAGTCACTTATGTGAAATGGTATAATGCCTCCAGGTATAGAAACTTCTTCAGCAGGAGGTGGAACTGGAAGATATCCAAGGTCCCTTTCAACTTTGATATTGTTATTCTGTTACTTAAGAAGACTAAAACAGGGTGTGTATGTGTATTTCCCCTTTTTTGGAAGTATCCGTAGCTCTGCAAAATGGGTAAGCTTCCCATTTCTCCCTTAGAAGGAATTTTTCCCCCTCTCCTAACGCCTAGTTTCAAGTCATAAATTACTACATCACCATATCAAGAACAAGCATTGGGGAAAATGCTTCCTCACATAATTACTAATTTTTGCTTTGTAGCTCACATGGGGATTTTGAATGTCACGGTGGAATGGTGGCAAAGTGGCAGAAAGGATGTTGCTAAATTTCAGCACAGTGAATAAATCCAATTTAATCCAATACAATTAAGAAAACCAAAATCAGGGCATCCAGCCCTCTCAATTCCTGGCAAATAGACGGGGAAGAAATGGAGGTAGTGACAGATTTTATTTTTCTGGGCTCCAAGATCACCTTAGATGGGGACTGCAGCCAAGAAATTAAAAGACGCTCTTGGGGAGGAAAGCTATGGCAAATCTAGACAGCATACTAAAAAGCAGAGACATTACCCTGCCAACAAAAGTGCGTATAGTCAAGGCCATGGTTTTCCCAGTTGCAATGTATGGCTGTGAAAGTTGGACCATAAGAAAGGCTGAGCACCAAAGAATGGAGGCCTTTGAACTCTGGTGCTGGAGGAGACTCCTGCGAGTCCCTTGGACTGCAAGGCGGTCAAACCGGTAAGTCCTAGAAGAGATCAACCCCGACTGCTCTTTAGAAGGCCAAATCCTGAAGTTGAAACTCAAATACTTTGGCCACCTAATGAGAAGGAAGGACTCACTGGAGAAGGGCCTGATGCTGGGAAAGATTGAAGGCAATAGAAGAAGGGGACGACAGAGAATGAGATGGCTGGATGGAGTCACTGAAGCAGTAGGTGTGAACTTAAATGGACTCCAGAAGATGGTAGAGGACAGGAAGGCCTGGAGGAACGTTGTCCATGGGGTTGCAATGGGTTGGACACGACTTCGCAATTAACAACAACAACAATCCAATCCAATACCAAATACATTTAAAGATATTTGTTGAGAAGCACGGATGGAGCAACACAGGAATATTTTTCCTGCCTTGGGTGTGCCAATAAATAGTTCAAGGAATTGGCTCATTACCACAGCCACATCACTCGAGCTATTCACAGGGAAAGTAAAATAACAGAATAAAAGAGTTGGAAGAATTTTGGAGGTCATCTAGTCCAACTCCCTGATCAAGCAGGAAATCCTATACCATTCTGGATAAATGGCTGTCCAGTCTCTTTTTAAAAACTTCCAATGTTGGAGCATTCACAACTTCTGGAGACAGGTTGTTCCACTGGTTAATTGTTCTAACTGTCAGGAAATTTCTCCTTAGTTCTAGGTTGCTTCTCTCCTTGATTAGTTTCCATCCATTGTTTCTTGTCCTACCTTCAGCTGCTTTGAAGAATAGGTTGACCGTCTCCTCTTTGTGGCAGCCCCTTAGATAGTGGAAACTATTATAATATTGGTATCATTTAGGAGACAGGAATGACTGAATCCATTTTTCTTTCTCATCATCTAATAGGATCTTCCACTCAAAAGGATTTCCAGAGGATTACAAAAGCTGAATGATGAATTCCAGTCTGGGAGATCTGAATGTTACAGGGAACTATTCTAGATATAACAATACCACGGATTCATATGAGGTTACCCCTTCTGAAATAGGATGGATTGCTTTGATTGGCATAACTTTAATAGCCTGTTTTATTGGAATTGTGGGCAATGGCTACATCATCTGGCTACTTGGCTTCCAGATTAAAAGAAACTGTTTCACCACATTCATCTTTAACTTGGCTATTGCAGACTTTGGATACCTCGCATCTATAGTTATATGTATTATCCATCACTTTACCTATTTTGAAGAAAGCGGAATTTTCTTCCAGATCTGTTTCTATTTTGCCTACATGATGTACATAAATGCAAACTTTCTTCTGACCGCCATCAGCATTGACCGGTGTGTGGCTGTCCTTTTCCCACTTTGGCATCGCTGTTCCCGGCCAAAACATTTGTCCTCCAGAGTCTGTGTTTTCCTCTGGATCTCTTCTTTCCTCCTGGGTGGAGTTCTGAACATTGTGAAAAACTTTGGAAATTACAATCTGTTCATTGTCTATTTCCTTGTGGCAGCTATAGTTTGCCTTCCGTTGATCATGCTTTCCACTGGTATCCTTTTCATCAAAGTGTGTCTTAAATCGAATCAGAAAAATAAGAGTCGGCTTTTACTTGTGATTTTAATTACTCTGCTCTGTTTCCTTATCCTTGGTTTTCCATTAAATGCCATTGTGGTGATTGTTAAATTTTCTGGCACAGATGACAGTAAAATCGAATATTGGATTCTTTGTACTATGCTATTTTCCTACCTAAACAGCAGCATTAATCCAGTGATCTATTTTCTAGTTGGGAGGAAAAAAGGGGCTCAGTCCAAGGAGAGCATGAAGGTCCTTTTGCAAAACGTCTTCAAAGAAGGTGAAGCTACCAGAGGGAGATAGAAGAGCTCAAATCATCTTACAAGGCCTCTGGGCTTCCTTCTGAGTAGCAATGAGCAACAACATTGCTACTGGAAGTTGTAATCTCATAGGTGGGACCAAATCTTTTTCAGTATATTGGCTCTTTCATCTGAATACATATAGAAAGGGTTGCATTTTAAGAGAAGGCCAAATCAGTCCACAACTAATGGTGTGCAAGAAGTGAACTGCCTGGGGTGGGTGAAATACTCAATTTATTTGCTTTTTACAAAGACAGGGAAAGCACAAACCGCACCCGCTGCTTCCAGATGTCGCTTAAAAGCAATTCATTCATGAAATGAAGCAACAGTGTGCAAAATTATAATAGAATCAATTTAGAAAGCAGTTCACATTCAGTCATGAACGCTAAGGTTTTAACCTGTCACTAAAAAGAAGAAGAACAAGAGAGACCATTTTCAAGCATGGTCTATGCCTTAGGAGCAACAGAAGAGAAAAATGGGTCACAGGCAAAATCTTAAATCCCCAGGACAGTAAGAAAGGATGGAAAGATGGCTACTTAAGCAGGAGGTGTGTACAAAAACATCCTTAGCAATTCTACAAATCAACATCATTATTATTATTATTATTATTATTAACATTTACAACATGGTTTCTAAGAGGGCCAAATGCTAATAGGTACTTGATGTTAGTACACACACACACACACACACACACACACACACACACACACACACACATCCCCCCTGAAAAAATAGCCTTTTTTGATTTTTGTTTGTAATTCACTTGTTCTTGTTTCCTTTTGTCTTTTCTACATGCATAAACTGTAAATAGAAATAAAGTTAAGATCTTAGAATAAAGTATCAAGCTTAAGATAGAACAGTAATTATTTAACCACTTTTTTTGATTATTTTGCTATTGTTTATTCAGGCCACCTTTCGCTGTAGATGTAAAAGGTAAACTTAACGCCTATCGGCAAAAACATGTAATCTATAATGAATATTGATGTAAACTTTTTTCTTTGTCTTTTAAGGTCTAAGCTATCTAAACAACAGTGCTAATAATCCCCAGTTCCTACTGTATAAAGACCACTGTAACCAAATAATATGCAGGCATACCAGGAAGACATTATGGGGGTGATTCCAGGCTACCACAATAAAGCAAGTATCACAATAAAGTCAAGTCACACCATTCTTTTTGATTTCCCAGTGCGTGAGTGTGGCACTTGCATGGCACTCGGGTCTGAAACTGGGCTATTAACTTTCCAGTTGACAAGCTGAGGGTCTGTAACTGCTGAGCCATCGTGTCCCCTAAGCTTCAAACAAATAAGTAGAGAAAATATATGTAGGAGATGCTTTCAGCTTATCTTCAGACTCTGGTCAGGGACCACCATGTGAAAGGAATGACTACAGCAATGGAGAACAAAGCCTGCAGAAATATCTAGATAAAATTCTGCTCGGTGTCTTATGTTGACAGCAACCTTACCAAAGAGACTACAGAAATTTAGAATGAATGAATGAATGAATGAATGAATGAATGACAGGAAGGAAGGAAGGAAGGAAGGAAGGAAGGAAGGGAGGGAGGGAGGGAAGGAGGGAGTGGTAGGAGTCAAGAATTGATGTTTCTCCATGGTTTTACTGTACCATATATGTTCACAGTTATATTGCAAAGGTTGACCAGACAATGTGGCAATTTTTTCAACCTTTGTGTGTCTGTTATAATAATAATAAAGTAGGAAGGGATCTTGGAGGTCATCTAGTCCAACCCCCTGCTCAGGCAGGAAACCCTATACCATTTCAGACAAATGACTGTCCAGTCTCTTCTTAAAAACTTCCAGTGTTGGAGCATTCACCCCTTCTGGAGGCAGGTTGTTCCACTGGTTAATTGTTCTAACTGTCAGGAAATTTCTCCTTAATTCCAGGTTGCTTCTCTTCTTGGTTAGTCTCCATCCGTTGCTTCTTGTCCTGCCTTTGGGTGCTTTGGAGAATAGCTTGACTCCCTTTTCTTTGGGGCAGCCCCTGAAATATTGGAACACTGCTGTGTTCTTCCTGAAAGAAATGTGACTGAAACATTATAACACAAGTTGGCCTGCAGATGGTTCAGGAGCTTGATAAATACACTTTGCAGCTTTCTGGAATAGTTCACAATGAAATATTCCATCGTGCCTTTGTTTGGATCCAGGCGTGGTTGCTTCTGAAGATTCTGTGAGTTTGGATTCTTTCTGTTCTGGGATGGGTAAGCAGATCTTGTTGGAAGTCTCACACAAGGAGATATATTCTTTATCTCACACAATCAATATGAACCCCAAGCGATAAGACCATCTGGTTCTTGTTTTTGCAAGATAATCACCAACTGTAGAATAAGGAGAGTGTCCGCGAGCCTCAGCTGTCAAGCTCAGTTCTGAAGAAGAACTGAAGAAGCTTCTTGGCTGACAAGCAAAACGTTTTCAAAGAAAAAAAGTCCATTTGCCTTTTGGAAAAGAACCTTTGAAAGATGGTCAGAAAGGCATCCCCAGGCCAAGACGTTAACCTTCATTATCCCCATCCTCGTATTTCTAATAACCGAAGAGGCGAAAGCAGAAAATAGTATCAAAAAGAAAAGAACAGACTGTACACTTGAATGACTGTAATCAGCTGGATCTCTGCCTCAGTGGTCAGTCCCTTTTATCAGCTGAGAAACCCAACTGTCAGTGAAGTTTTGTTCTTTGGTCTTCTCGCGTCAATCTGCAAATAGTCTACTTAATCAGAGCATTTTAAAAGAAATATAATCTGGAGAACCATTTCCCCTGTGACAGATGAAGTCAAACCATTTCCCCTGTTCCCAAAAAGCTTTCTTTATAAGGAGAAGCTACATTTGCTGAACAGTCCTTAAAAATTTAACTCTGTCTGACATGGCTTTTGGTTCTCTTGCCCTAGCTGGCTCAAAGAAATTCTCTCTCTTCTACACTGACTGTTGGCGATCATCTTAAACAACCAACGACCACATCTTATATCGCATGGTGCTAGATTCTGATTAGACCGGACACAAAATATGTGTGGATCTTTTAGAGTTTCTTTTTCATGCCAGAAGCAAAAGCTCGCCATGTTTTCTGCAGGAGGCTGATCCTCACCTGCTATGTTGGCACTCAACCCTGTGCTTTATAGAAAAACACCTTTGAAGATTTCTGCTCAAGCTCTACTTCCAGGTAGATCCGAATCCGCAGATAATTCTTTGAACCTTGTAAATCAAGATAGGGTGGATGGACTTCCTTTCTGTTGATGAACTACATTGGATATTTTACCTGTAGGTCCTGCCATCCCCAGTCACTTCAGCCTCCAACTGTGGCACAATAATCTTCTACTTACCAACTTTGAAGAGTTTGGATCATCCCTTTCAGTTGGGTTATAATTTTGGAAGGTTTAATTAGAGCCATGATATGCAAATAGAGTAATAGCCATTTCTTCAGCAGCTGTGTATTTCTATACCTGATATTTATATGTTGACTGTCATATCAGTCTCAGTTGAGGTTTCCTGATTTTGACTCATTTTCCTACCTATTTTTAACCATCCTGACAGTATGTCAGAAGCAAACAAACTGTCTACAACCCAAGATCAAGGGAATAAGATAAATAAGGTGAAATAAAATAAGATAAATCATAATTGTTTTTCATCGGTTTTGGCTCTTCAGTTCTGTATGAAAAAAAAATCTTGTTTATTTGTATATCAAGTGGGAAAGTTCTGGTTAATCCCAGAAACTTTGGACACAACGACACAGGAACTCTTCTATACTTAACTAATGAAGGAGAGAAGCAACCTTGAGTGAAAACAAGCACAAGGGGTGACATGATAGCAGTGTTTCAATATTTCACAAAGAAGAGGGAGTCAAGCTATTCTCCAAAGCGCCTGAAGGCAGGACAAGAAGCAACGGATGGAAACTAATCAAGGAGAGAAGCAACCTAGAACTAAGGAGAAATTTCCTTACAATGAGAACAATTAAGCTAGCCTTCAGAGGTTGTGGGTGCTTCATCTCTGGAGGCTTTTAAGAAGAGATTGGACAGCCACGTGTCTGAAACGATATAGGGTTCCCTGCTTGAACAGGGGGTTGGACTAGAAGACCTCCAAGGTCCCTTCCAACTCTGTTATTGTTATTCCGTTACTTAAGTAGACCAAAATGGGGTGTGTATGTGTATTTTCCCTTTTTAGGAAGTATCTGCAACTTTACCCAATGTGTAAACTGCCCATTTCTCCCTTAGCAGGAATTTTTTCCTTCATACCATCTCCTAACTCCTAGTTTCAGGTCATAGATATATTTTCTTATGATTATCTCGTATTATTTCTCTTATGCTCCAGCCACCGTATCACTATAACAAGAACAAGCATTGGGAAAAGTGCTTCCTTATATTATTTATTTATTTATTTATTTATTTATTTATTTATTTATGAGACTTATATACCGCTTTAAGTGCAAGCACTCTCTAAGCGGTGTACACCAGTAAGCAATGTATATATATATTTACATTGCCCCCAACAATCTGGGTCCTCATTTTACCTACCCCGGAAGGATGGAAGGCTGAGTCAACCTTGAGCCGGTGAGATTTGAACCGCTGACCTGCTGAACACAGTCAGCTAAAGTGGCCTGCAGTACTACACTCTAACTGCGGCGCCACCTCGACCATTTTTGCTTTGTGGCTCACATGGGGATTTTGACTGTCACAGTGCAACGGTGGCGAAGGGGCAGAAGAAGACACTGCAGAACTTCAGGACAGCGAAACCTCCCAATCCAATACCAAATACATTTTAAGATATTTATTGAGAAGCATGGATGCAGCAACACTTGAGTATTTTTTCTGCATTGGGTGAGGCCACAAACAGTTCAAGGAGTTGGCTCATTACTGCAGCCAAATCTCTCAAGCTATTCACAGGGCAAGTAAAACAACAGACTAACAGAGTTGGGAAGACTTTGGAGGTCATCTAGTCCAACTCACTAATCAAGCAGGAGATCCTATACCATTCCAGATAAATGAACGCCCAATCTCTTCTCAAAAAACCTCCAGTGAGGGAGCACCCACAGCTTCCGTTCCACCCGTTTATTGTTGTAACTGTCAGGAAATTCCTGCTTCCAAGTTAGTTCTTTCTTTGATAAGTTACCATCCATTGCTTCTTACCTGCCCTCGGGGGCCTTGGAGAATAGCTTGACTCCCCCTTCTTTGTGGCAGCCCCTTAGATCAGTGGTTCTCAGCCTGTGGGTCAGGACCCCATTTGGGGTCGAACGACCATTTCACGGGGGTCGCCAAACAACGCAGTCTGCCATTTTCTTTTCCCCTTTTCCTTAGCTGTGCAACTCCCTTTTATTCTATTGGCTTTTGAAAGCCAATAGAATAGACTCTCTTGAATAGAGTCTAATTCTATTGGCTTTCAAAAGCCAATAGGAATGGTCCAGGCTGTCTCTGCCCTGCTGAGCCCACCAAAAGTCCCATTCTGCAAATGGTGCTGCACCAGTTGAGTAGTCCTCGACTTACGACCGGTGGAGTAGTCCTCGACTTACGACCAGTTGGGGGTTGCAGCATTAAAAAGGTTGAGAACCACTGCCTTAGATAATGGATGTGACAACAATATTACTATTATTTAGGACAGGGACTCTCAATCCCTTGTCCCTCGCGTGTTGCCTGTCTGTGGCCCATTAGGAACCAGACCGGGAACGTGGTGGGTGAGTGCATGAGTGCAGAACCATCCACCTCTCCCCCAATAACAGCCACTGCCTCCACTGGTCTGGTGAGCTGGAAAGGTTGGGGACCACTGATTGGGGAGACTGGAATGACTTTACTCCCTTTTCTTTCTTTTCTTCTAATAGGAGCTTCTACTCCAAAAGATAATCAGAGGATGACAAAAGCTTAATGATGAATTCCAGCCTGGGAGATCTGGATGCTACAGAGAACTATTATGGGTATAACGATACCATTGACTCGTTTGAGTACACAGAAGAGATGCCCCCTTCTGTTTTAGGATGGATTGCTTTGATAGGCATTACTTTAATGGCCTGTTGTATTGGATTTATGGGCAATGGCTACATCATCTGGCTACTTGGCTTCCAGATGAAGAGGAACCGTTTCACCACATTCATCCTTCACTTGGCCATTGCAGACTTTGGGTTCCTCATGTCTGTAGTTATATATAATATATATGGATTTATTGAGTTTGAAGGAAGCACAATTTTCTACATCATCTGTGCCTTTTTCTTCCAAATGATGCATTTCAACAGTCACTTCCTTCTGACGGCCATCAGCATTGACCGGTGTGTGGCTGTCCTCTTCCCAATCTGGCATCACTGTTCCCGGCCAAAACGTTTGTCCTCCATGGTGTGTGTCCTCCTGTGGATCGCTTCTTTCCTCCTGAGTGGAATTATGAAGATTATGACTTTCACAAAAGTCATTGTAAATGACAGACTGTCTGTACTCCATTTCCTTGTGACTGCTATAGTTTGCCTTCCGCTGATCACACTTTCCACTGGGGTCCTTTTCATCAAGGTGTGTCTTAAGTTGAATCGGAAGAATCAGGGTCGGCTTTTACTGATGATTTTAATCACTCTGCTCTGTTTCCTCATCCTTGCTTTTCCATTATATCTCTTCGTGGTGATTGATAATTTTTTTAGTATTGAAATTGATCCAGAAATACCGTACTGGGAGACATGCATTGTTCTGTTTTCCTGCTTAAAGGAGCTCGGTCCAAGGAGAGCATGAAGGTCCTTTTGCAAAACGTCTTCAAAGAAGGTGAAGTTGCCAGAGGGAGATAGAAAAGGTCAAATCCTCTTACAAAGCATCTGTGCTTTCTTCTGAGGAGCAATGAAGGACATTGCTACTAGGGGTTGTAATCTTATAAGTGGGATCAGAGCTTTTTTTGTCATTGAACGCACCTTTTTTCGATGGATTTTCCAAGTTCTAAAAGTAACTTTCGAAAATTTGATGTTTGGTCCACGTGGACTTGAATCGCCCTGTCGAGTGTAGCAGGTTGGTGGCAAAATCATTAAAATGAAGCTACTGGAGGGAGATGGAAGAGGTCAAACCCTCTTACGAGGCCTTTGTGCTTCTTTCTCAGTAGCAATGAATAAGATGAACTTGAGGCTGTAATCCTAAAGATGGGACCAAATCTCTTTCAACATATTTCCTCTTTCATCTGACATATATAGAATTGCATTTTAAGAAATGTCTACATCAGTACACAACTAATGTGGTGCAGGAAATGAATGGCACTTTTATAAATTACTCAGTATTGCTTTCTAGAAATGCGATTTTTACAAATACAGGGGATGTACCAATCATACCTGCTGCTTCCAGATATGAAATGACGCAACAATGAGTAAAAGTAAAATAGAACCAGTTGAAAAGTAGTTTAAATTCGGTAATGAATGTTAAGGCTTTCACCTGTTACTAAAAATGAAAAGGGCAATAAATTTAGTTTTCAAGTACATTCCATACAACAGAAGGGAAAAATAGGTCACAGGCAAAATCTCAGATCCCCAGGCTAATAAAAAAGGATGGAAAGATGGCTAGTTAAGCAGAAAAGCAGCTACAGATGGGTAGAAAAAGTCCTTAGCAATTCTACAAATCTGGAGAAAAAGTCTTCCCTGTTTGGGTCCTTGGTGCTCTCTGAGCTTCATTGCTTGTTGGCAGACATTGACTTAACCAAGTGACATCATTAGTGGTAGAAGAGAGTGGGGTTTGGTCTTTGTTTAGATACAATATCTTGCCCTGTCGGGGCTGATGGGAGTGTTGTTTTCCTCTTGATAGTTCCTTGATTAGGCTGCTTTTTAGTGTTTGATTGTTTTTCTGAATTGGTAATGTTGAAAGAAAAATCTTCATTGGGGTCCAGTCCAAGCCGGGAATAAACAACATGAAGACTGCTTTAGAAAGAAGGTTGTAGTATATTGAAGAGGAGAGCCAGACAGAAATATGGCTCTGGAAAAACAACTGACCACATGGAGCAGTGTGGTGGGTTTTTATACCTTCTTGACCTTTGTTTGGAGTTCTTCCTGTTTGAGGCTTTGTATTTCCTGTGTCATGTACTTTGACCTGGGTCTGAGTGTGCCCTTTTGCTATGAGTGGGTTAATCCTATTATGTCCTGTCTTAGAGTTTGGGTGGGGGTATATAGATTTTAAGAGTCTTTGTCTTACTACTTTCTTCAGTTTCTAGCTAGAAGGCTCCAATCTTCCTGAAAGGATTATTGAATTTGCATTTCTAAAAGCTGGTTTCTGTCTATGGGCTGGGCTGAGGGGGTGGGAGGAAGCTTCCACCTTTTTAAAGATCTTCTCCATTATTCCTTTGGGGAAATATATTCTGCCTTTTTAATATTTCCCAAAATATTTCTTTCTCTGGATTTTTCCTACAGTAGTTCCTTGATTAGAGTCTTTTTGAAAGGTTTACTACAGAACATGGCAAATACAAACATTTACAGCATGGTTTCCAAGAGGGCTTAAATGCTTAAAGATACTGGAGGCTAGTAGTTGACACAAAAAAGAACAACGTGAGAAACCACAGTCTTTTGAGGTTTTGTCGTTGTTGTTCATTTGTTTTTGTTTCCTTTTTTCCTTTTCTATATGCATAAATTATAAGTAGGAATACAGTTAAGACCTTAGAATAAAGTATCAAGCTTAAGGTAGAATTATTAACTTTTTATTATTTTGTTGTCTACTAATGCCACATTTAGCTGTAGATATAAAATTTAAACAACCTTATGCTTATCAGCAAAAAGAAATAGTTCATAATCAGTACTGATGTAAACTAGTTTGTCTTTAAAGGTCTAAATTATCTAAACAACAGAGTGTTAATAATCTTCTGTCCGTATTTGTATCAATACCACTGTAACAAAATAATATACAGACACACCAGAAATACATTGTGGGTTTGATTCCAGATCACCACAATAAAGCAAATATTACAATAAAGTTGAGTTACATTTCTTCTTTTTGGGGGTTTCCCAGTCTATGTAATAAAGTTTAGGAATTAGCTTTAAACTAGAATCAAAGAAAATGTCCTCCTCTGTTTCATTAACACAGCATCCAGCTTGTGATGCTGGAAAAACCTTGAAATGTTTGGCAGGCCTGTTTGTTTGCCTAACACCACAACCAACTGTACACACTCTGAGTAAAGCTGAAAATGCAAAAGCTCAATGTACTGTCCCTTCTTTGAAGATGCTCAACACGGTCTGAAAGCTCAATGCATCTTAATATCTCCAAGTTGTAAAATAAATCTCAATCTCAAAACTAAAATCCCCAAAGCAAAAATTCAGACTTGGCTTAAAAACAGAAACTGTGAGAGGGACCTTGGAGTCCTAGTGAACAATCACTGAGCCAGCAGTGTGCAGCAGCCACCAAAAAAGCTGATACAATCCTGGGCTGTATAAACAGAAGCATAGAATCAAGATCACATGGCTTCCGGTTCCGGGTCACGGCGGTGCGGTCGAGCGAAGAGAGCGGTCTCTTCGGCGGCCGAGTTTCCTCTGCTGGCAGACCCCGAGTGGGTCAAAAAGTCGCTCTGGAGGAGTGACTACCATTGAGGAGGCTTCTTGGATGACTGCAGAGGGGCGGCTGCATCTTCTGTAGTCCGAATATCTCCTTTGGGCCAACGGAGAAAAGATTGGTCAGTAAAATGGCCGATCATTTAGCTGCACCAACCGTAAGCCATAAGATCATCTAAGCAAATAGACTCACCGTGGAAGACTCAGTGAGATTTTTTTTTGACCTTTACTTTCCTTTTTTTCTGTGAAAAGGGTTTTTTTGGGGGGAATTATTTCCCTATTTTGTTAAAGCGGTATTTTTGGTGGGGGAAGAGAAGCTTATAAAAAGAAACTAATTTTTTTTTATTGGTTGATTTTATTTTGGGATATTTGGGAGCCCCAAGAAATTTCGATCTTTTGGTGAAACTACTCATTGCAATTGTTATTTTTTTTTCTTTTGGAGTCTGACTTTGGCTTTCAAATTATTATAAAGGAAAAAGATAAAAAAGCTGTATAGCTGGGTGGGGTGGGTATTGACTGATTTCTTCTGAATAGAGTCTCCCCCAAAAGGACAATGGCTTTAAATATGATAGAAATGGAAGAAACTTGTTTAAATTTCACTTATAAGTATATATTGGGCAAAATCCTGGAAAACACTGAGATGATAGTTGCTTACACAAAAGAGATTTCACTTCAACGACAAAATAAAGCACAAGGTGTAAGTAAGCACTTTGAAAGCAGCAGAGGGGGCTTATATCTAAGAGATTTCTTTTCAATCTTGTTTTCAGCCCACTGAGATGGATGAATCAAATTTCCTTTCGGGTTATCTACCTATATTTGAAAAGACTCTTGATGTTAAGGAGCAAATGATTTACAATAAGGAGATGGAGGATTTTACCCCAGAAGGACAAGCTGACTTGCAGACACCATCTGACTTTTTGACAGAGAAAAAACTAACAGAAGAAGAACAATACTTGATCAAAAAGGACTATACATCATCTTAGCTACAACCTACTAAGAAAATAATGCCAATTAAATTTTATGCAACTTTAAAAAAGATGGAAAACGACATTCAGCTACGAGTTATTGAGAACAGCTACAATTCCTATATCAGCTTAATAAAATAGATAATGAGAGACTCACTTTTGGTGTACGTGTTATGACAAGAGATAATGGGAGATCTATTTGAGGAATTAGAGACTCTATTATGGAAACCCATTTGAAATAGAAAGAAACAGAATAAGATATAAATATTGAATTTAAGATTACAGTGATGGGTGGTAAAGGATTTATAGTGACTTGGACTGATTTGGAAGTGGATTTTGTCAAAAGGGAAGTCATTATGAAAAGATTTAGACTTTAATATTGAAATACAGTAAGAATATGTTTCTTGGAATGATAGATCTTTTTTTTCTCTCTCTCCCTTTTTTCTTTTCCTTTCCACTTTCTTTCTTCGTTTCATCTCCTTGGTTTATCTATATTCCCTTTCCTTCGTGTTATTTTTTCTTTTTCTTTCTTAGTATTTTTTATGTGTTTTTAATAATAGGGGTGGCATAATGAGAAAAAGATTGAAATAATGGAAGAAATGAAATTAATAATTGGAGAATTATTGAATAAGAATAGAATATAGTTTAGAGATGTAAGAATTTAGTTATGGAAATAATATGTTTAAATAAGAGAAACTTGGGGTACCTGAATAGTATATAAATGTGTTAAAGTTTAAATGTTTGAAAAATTAATAAAGCGTAAAACAGGATCTTATGGGATAGATAATGAGCTTTTGAAAATTTGTATTGATTAATGGAATCTATATGGAGTGATATATTAATGAATGAATTTGTTTTAGAAATGTATTAATTTGAATATAATATTTTAAATAGAGAGTGTTAGTTTAAGTTTAAACATTTGAAAAACTAATAAAATGTAAAATAGGATTTTATGGGATAGATAATGAGTTGTTGAAAATGTTTTATTCATTAACAGAATTTATATGTATGAATTTCTTTTTAGAACTGTATTAATTTGCTTATAATATCCTAAATAAAGGGGGGGGGAATTTCAAGGAATATTGTGTGAGCTGTATATTTCTAATGTTATTGTTTTTAATTGATAACCCTATCTCCACGTTGGTTCTTAAGCCTTGTTGGTGTAAAATGGAAAACTAATAAAAATTGTTTTTTTTAAAAAAAGAATCAAGATCATGCAAGGTATTAGTACCACTTTATAAAACACTCGTAAGACCACACCTGGAATACTGCAGCCAATTTTGGTCACCATATCACAAAAAAGATGTTGAGAGTTTGGAAAAAATTCAGAGAAGAGCAATTAAGATGATCAAAGGCCTGGAGACTAAAACATACAAAAAATGGCTACGGGACTTGAAGAAAGAAAGAAGAAATAGAGGAGACACGATAGCAGTATTCCAGTATTTGAGGGGCTGCCACAAAGAAGAGGGGGGCAGGTTGTTCACCAAAGCACCAGAGGGAAGGACGAGAAACAATGGTTGGAAACTGATCAAGGAGAGAAGCAACCTGGAATTAAGGAGAAACTTCCTGACAGTGAAGACAATTAACCAGTGGAACAGCTTGCCTCCAAAAATCGTGGGCGCTCCATCACTGGAGATTTAAGAAGAGGCGAGCCAGTCGCTTGTCTGAGATTGTATAGGTTCTCCTGCTAAACCGGGGGGGGGGGGCTGGATTAGAAAACCTCCAAGGTCTCTTTCAGCTCTATTCTATTCTAATGTTCCTCTGTTCACTACGCCCCCTGTTGGTGACTACTTGCATCTTCCACCACTCTTGGGAGCCATTATATTCTTGTAATGTGGATAAAGAGCAATCAGGTGACCAATCTATTCCTGACTTCCCCAACAGGCAAATAAAGATAGCAATGCTAAGAACAATCAAGTCAACATTAACTAATAATGTTTGTAGGCATAATTTGCATTATCCTGTTCCTTGATGACATCATCCATCAGATAATCATGCTGCTGTTGTCATCCATGATGGAAGGGCTGCAGAACTCACAGTTCTTCATTCAGCTGCCCAGCCATTCCCGCTTGGCCTGAAATATGTTTGGAAAAGAAGAGGAAGGTGAATTCAGCATTCCACCATCTCTGCTTCTTAAGCTTCTCAGACTGCCAAACGCAACCAAGATGGGCAAACGTGACCAACATTAGTCAACAGAGCTTCTGTCTCAAATCCTGAGATGAGAAGTAGGTACTCTGCCCCCCAAATTGAGTCCCAAGCTCTGTGGTCCTTGGCCTCAATGGGAGGGGCTGGTGGAAACCATAAACTAGACCAGGGTCAACACATCTTCAACCACGTAAGCTCACTGGGGAAAATAAGAGAGGTCGAAAGAACACGGCTAAGTTAAGTAGGTTCTACCCATACTAGGCTTTGCTTATAATGTCCAAAATTTGTCCTATATTCGAGGAGCTGGTAATATTAAGCAGATCTTCTGCAAAAAAAAAAAAAAATTCTTTCTGTTCTGAGATGGGTAAGCAGATCTTGTTAAAAGTCACACCCAATGAGATATACAGTGAGGGGAAAAAGTATTTGATCCCCTGCTGATTTTTGTACATTTGCCCACTGACAAATGATCAGTCTATAATTTTAATGGTAGGTTTATTTTAACAAGGAGAGACAGAATAACAACAACAAAAAATTCAGAAAAATGCTTTTTTTGTGTGTGTTAGTCTGTCTTTCAATGTTAAAATAAACCTACCATTAAAATTATAGACGGATCATTTCTTTGTCAGTGGGCAAACGTACAAAATCTGCAGGGGATCAAATACTTCCTCTCCACACACTGTATTCCTTATCTTGCACAATCAATGTGAGCATCAAGTGACAAGACAATCTGTTTCTTGTTTTTGCAAGATAATCACCAACTGTAGAATAAGGAGGCTGCTATGAGCCTTGGCTGTCAAGTTCAGTTCTGAAAAAGAACTGAAGAAGCTTTGAAGATTTTGGACTATCCCTTTCAGGTATGTTATAATTTTGGAAGGTTTAATTAGAGCCAGTGTTGTGCAAATAGAGTAATAGCCCTTTCTTCAATCGCTGCATATTTCTATATCTGATATTTATATGTTGACTGCCATATCAGTCTCAGCTGAGGTTTCCTGCTTTCCAACCTGCTTTTAGCTATCATGACAGAAAAGTACAAGTATCTCAGAGGCAAACAAACTTTATGCAACTAAAGTTCAAGGGAAAATTATGTTTCTTTACCTAATCCATAATTGTGTTTCATGAGTTCTGAATCTTCAGTTCTCTATGAAAATTCTTCCCATTTATTTGTTGTATCGAGTGGGAAAGTTCCAAGTTAATCACATAAAGTTTGGACACAAACTTAGAGGAAATCTTCTATACTTAACTAGTGAAGGAGAGAAGCAACCTTGAACTATGAAGAGTGAAAACAAGTGGTAGGGGTGACGTGATAGCAGTTTTTCAATATTTGAGGGGCTGCCAGAAAGAAGAGGGAGTCAAGCTGTTCTCCAAAGGCAAGAAAAGAAACAATGGATGCAAACTAATCCAGAGGAGAAGCAACCTGGAATTAAGGAGAAATTTCCTAACAGAGAGGAAAATCAACCAGTGGAACAGCTTTGCCTCCAGAAGTTATGGGTGCTTCATCACTGGAAGTTTTAAGAAGAGACTGGACAGCCACTTGTTTGAAATGGTATAGGGTCTCCTTCTTGAGCAGGGGGTTGAACTAGAAGACCTCCAAGGTCCTTCCAACTCTATTATTGTTATTCTGTTACTCAAGTATAGACCAAAAGAGGTGTGTCTGTGTCTGTCTGTATTTTCCCTTTTTTCCGAAGTACCTTTAGCTCTACAAAATGTGTAAGCTGCCTATTTCTCCCTTAGCAGGAATTATTTCCCTCATATATCTTCAATTGTACTTCAGGTCATAGATATATTTTCTAATGATTATCTCTGTTGCACTCTGGGCACCCTATCACCATAACAAGAACAAGCATTGGGGAAAAATGCTTATAATAATAATAAAGTTGGAAGGGACCTTGGAGGTCATCAAGTCCAACCCCCTGCTCAGGCAGGAAACCCTATACCACTTCGGACAAATGGCTGTCCAGTCTCTTCTTAAAAACGTCCAGTGTTGGAGCATTCACCGCTTCTGGAGGCAGGTTGTTCCACTGGTTAATTGTTCGAACTGTCAGGAAGTTTCTCCTTAGTTCTAGGTTGCTTCTCTCCTTGGTTAGTTTCCATCCGTTGCTTCTTGTCCTGCCTTCAGGCGCTTTGGAGAAGACCTTGACTCCCTCTTCTTTGTGGCAGCCCCTGAGATATTGGAACACTGCTATCATGTCCCCTATCCTTCTTTTCATTAAACTAGACATACCCAATTTAAGAAACCGTTCCTTATATGTTTTAGCCTCCAGTCCCCTAATCATCTTTACATAATTACCCATTTTTGCTTTTTAACTCACATGAGGGTTTTGAGTGTCACGATGCAATGGTGACAAAGCGGCAGAGAGGACGATGCTGAATTTCAGTACAGTGAAAAGATCCAATACAATCCAAATACCAAATATTATTTAAGAGATTTGTTGAGAAGCATGGATGGAGCAACCCATGATATTTTTTCCCCCTTGGGTGTGGCCACCAACAGTTCAAGGAGATGGCTCATTACTGCAGCCACATCACTCAAGCTATTCACAGGGAAAGTAGAGTAACAGACCAACACAGTTGGAAGGATTTTGGAGGTCATCTAGTCCAACTCTCTGATCAAGCAAACGATCCTATACCATTCTGGATAAAAGACCATCCAGTCTCTTCTTAAAAACCTCCAGTGAAGGAGCACCCACAGCTTCTGAAGACAAGCTGCTCCACCTGTTTACGGTTCTACCTGTCAGAAAACTTCTCCTTAATTCTAGGTTGCTTCTCTCCTTGATTAGTTTTGATCCATTGCTTCTTGTTCTGATCTCAGGTCCTTTGGAGAAAAGAATGAGCCTTTGTGGCAGCCCCTTAGATGATGGAAGCTATGACAATATTGGTGTTATTTAGGAGACAGGAATGATTGAATCCACTCTTCTTTCTTTTCTTCTAATAGGAGCTTCCACTCCAAAAGATAATCAGAGGATTACAAAAGCTTAATGATGAATTCCAGCCTGGGAGATCTGGATGCTACAGAGAACTATTATGGGTATAACGATACCATTGACTCGTTTGAGTACACAGAAGAGATGCCCCCTTCTGTTTTAGGATGGATTGCTTTGGTAGGCATTACTTTAATGGCCTGTTGTATTGGATTTATGGGCAATGGCTACATCATCTGGCTACTTGGCTTCCAGATGAAGAGGAACCGTTTCACCACATTCATCCTTCACTTGGCCATCACAGACTTTGGGTTCCTCACGTCTGTAGTTATACATAATATCCATATATTTACTTATTTTCTAGGACATGGAATTCTCAACATTTTCTGTGCCTCTTTCTGCCACATGATGTATATCAATAGTTACTTTCTTATGACGGCCATCAGCATTGACCGGTGTGTGGCTGTCCTTTTCCCAATCTGGCATCACTGTTCCCGGCCAAAACATTTGTCCCCTGCTATCTGTGTCACCCTCTGGACCTCCTCTTTCCTCCTGGTTGGAACTGTGAACATTATGAAATTATCAAAAGTCACTGTAGATTACAGTCCGTTTGGTCTCCTTTTCCTTGTGAGTGCTATACTTTGCCTTCCGTTGATCACTCTCTCTACTGTGGCCCTTTTCATCAAAGTGTGTCTTAAATCGAATCAGAAGAATCAGGGTCGGCTTTTACTGATGATTTTAATCACTCTTCTCTGTTTCCTCACCCTTGCTTTTCCGTTAAGTGTCTTTGTGGTGATTGCTAATTTTTTTAGTATTGAAATTGACCCTGAACTACGGTATTGGGAGACACGTATTATATTGATCTCCTGCCTAAACAGCAGCATTAACCCAGTGATCTATTTTCTAGTTGGGAGGAAAAAAGGAGCTCGGTCCAAGGACAGCATGAAGGTCCTTTTGCAAAAGCTCTTCAAAGAAACTGAAGTTACTGGAGGGAGATAGAAGAAGTCAAGACATCTGTGTTTTCTTCTGAGGAGCAATGAAGGGGGTTGTAATCTTATAAGTGGGATCAGAGCTTTTTTTGTCATTGAACGCACCGGAACGGTGTTCTGGCACCTTTTTTCGATGGATTTTCCAAGTTCTAAAAGTAACTTTCGAAAATTTGATGCTTAGTCCACGTGGACTTGAATCGCCCTGTCGAGTATAGCAGGTCGGCGGCAAAATCATTAAAATCGTGCATTTGGGCTGCTTGTGTGTCGAGTCCGATGCATGCATACTTCATCCGCGCTGGTTGTGATGGTGCTGCTTGGCTTGTGGCACTGCTCGGCTTGTGATTGGTGGTGTGGTTGTGCGCTCAGTGCTTACTGCAGACAGCGACCATTATGTTTCATTACACAATTGGTGTGTGTGGGTGTGTGTAGAGTGATTGACTTCGTGCGAAAAGTAAATATCTTTATTTTAAAAAAAATCATTGGTGGATTGAAAATCTTTTTTAATATTTAATGTAAAAGTGTGACCCCCCAAGTTTAAAAATGAAAAAAAAAATACTAATTAAATCTCAACCACTGGTCTTGCTAATAAAAAGGCCAGGATATTAACAGACGCAACGACAGAACACACAAAAATAATGACGCCTGTTGATATTTCTGAATCTGATCTTGAGAAGCAAAGCCAAACTACAAATGACTGCTGGACCTATGATAAAAAAAATAATTTGTGGCAACTGGATCTGAAAGAGGTTGGACGGTTATTCCAGGACAAGGACTGAAATCCATATTTAAAAGGACTTGAATGGGTAGTGGACCAGAACCATTTAAATAAGTCTAATTTTTTATTATTATTGTACATGTGAATATGATTTAATACGTTAGCAGGATATGTGCAAGAAGTGGACGGAAAGAGTGTAACCTCAGAGTAACCCGGCCAATGGGGAACAAGGAGGGATGTGGTGGCTGGGACAGCACTGTATAAGGAAGGGAATATTTTGGCTTTGATAGCTTCTCTCCCTGCTTATTGCAATAAACTAAACAAAAGGCCTTCACTGTGTCTTGGCTGGTTATTGGTCAGGCGAGCTTGCTTGGTCCAGTGGTGGGATTGAAATATGTGAACATCCGGTTCTCTGTGTGGATTCTCATCCAAGAAGCTTCTTCAGCAAAGAAATGAAATATCTTCAAAGAAAAACAAGACAGTCCAGTTGCCTCTTGAAAAAGCATCTTTGGGACAACTGTGACCTGGATGACTGAGAATCTCCATAGACATTTTAACTGGTTGTTTTTAATGATTTGAATTATTTGTATAATAAATAATTTATATACTTTTTAAAAATTAAATCCAATTTTATTCAGTTTTTCCAAGCTGTTATAGATAGACATTAGAAAAAGGCCTGCCTGAAAAATAAACAACAACAACAATAATAGGAGGTCATCTAGTCCAACCCCCTGCTCAGGCAGGAAACCCTATACCATTTCAGACAAATGGCAGTCCAGTCTCTTCTTAAAAACTTCCAGTGTCAGAGCATTCAAAGCTTCTGGAGGCAAGGAGTTCCACTGGTTAATTGTTCTAACCGCCAGGACATTCCTCCTTAGTTCTAGGTTGCTTCTCTCCTTGATTAGTTTCTATCTAACCTTACTTGAGTGGGCTGCATGAAACGTGCATGGGTACACATAATTGTCACCCTTACCTCCCAAAATTTCAAAATTACCTTTAAAAATCAGTAATATCAATTTTAGGCCAGCTGTACTACTTTTGTTATCTCCCCAAAACCATTGTGGATGACTGTCCAAAAATTCATTTGGCAGTGGTTTACAGTTATGTCGAGTGAGTTTGGCCTAGTTTTGCATTAAAAACAACAACAACAAAAATAATATGATTATGACTTTAGCATGCAAGAAAGCTATTTCCTCCAATATTATTTATAATTGTAATAAAAAACCAGCATTGTAATAAGGGGATGTGTTTGAGGGAACATGAATATTTATTAGTATTAACTCAAAATTTATATCTAAATTCTATGACCAGCATATGTGGGAGTTTATCCCCAGAATATAGTTGTTTGTTCTGCATTGCAAGTCTTCCTTAATAAGAATGCATAAGCCATCAGAAGCTTACACACTTCCAATGTTGGAGCATTCACAGCTTCTGGAGGCAGGTTGTTCCACTGATGAATTGTTCTAACTGTCAGGAAGTTTCTCCTTAGTTCTAGGTTGCTTCTCTCTTTGGTCAGTTTTCATCCATTGCTTCTTGTCCTGCCTTCAGATGCTTTGGAGAATAGCTTGACCCCTTCTTCTTTGTGGCAGCTCCTGAGATACTGGAACACTGCTATCATGTCACCCCTCATCTTTAGTAATAGTAATAGTAGTAAAGTTGGAAGGGACCTTGGAGGTCATCTAGTCCAACCCCCTGCTCAGGCAGGAAACCCTACACCATTAAATTGCCTGTCCCCGGCAATTTAAAAACTATAAGGCTATCAGTGCATGTAGCACAGATGTGTGTGTGGACAAGAATACCAACCTTGCTACCAATCAAAATGAAGCCTCTAATAGCGAGTGCCATATAAAGTGCACTAACCAAATAGGTGGTAAGACAATAGGGGAACTCAGGCACCACACAGGTTATGTAGAAAGGAAACACAGGGCCACCCACAAAGGACTCAAATGTTTATACACCAATGCACAAAGTATGAACAGCAAACAGGGTGAACTAGAAATTCAGGTTAATGAGGGCAGATACGATATTGTTGCCATTACGGAAACATGGTGGGATGAAACTCACACATGGAACACACAGCTAGAGGGATTTAAATTATTTAAAAGAAACAGACCAAATAAAAGAGGAGGTGGAGTTGCTCTCTATATAAGAAATAACTACATCTTCACAGAAATAGAGTACAACAATGATAAAAACTGTCTTGAATGCATTTGGGTCAATATAAAAGGGGGGGGGAATGACATTGCCATAGGTGTATACTACAGACCACCCAACCAAACAGAGGAAATAGATGAACTTTTTGCTAGTCAGCTAACTAAGGTATGTAGGAAGCACATCACAATAGTAATGGGGGACTTTAACTACCCTGACATCAACTGGGAGACAAACTCCGCACCAAGTGGAAGATCAAACAGGTTCCTGGCAAACCTAGCAGACAACTTTGTCTCCCAAAAAGTAGAGAATGGAACTAGGGGATTAGCCATTTTGGATCTAATTCTCACTAACAGAGATGAAATGATAGACGGTGTTGGAGCCATAGGAACCCTGGGAGGAAGTGATCATGCAATATTAGAATTCAACATTATAGAAGCACAACCAATAGAACACAGTCAAACTAGAGTCTTGGACTTCAAGAGAGCTAATTTCAATAAACTTAGAGAGGGCTTGGGAAGGATTCCATGGATGAGAATCCTCAAGGGGAAAACAACTCAAGAAGCTTGGGAAATTTTGAAAAATGAGATAATAAAAGCACAGTCTAGCACAATACCAACAAAGAGGAAAAATAACAGCTCTCAAAAGAAACCAGCATGGCTGCATAAAGAACTCTCTGACAAATTGAAAGATAAAAAGGACAAGTATAGAAAGTGGAAAGAGGGGAACATAACTAAGTCAGAATATCAGCAAATAGCCCGAGCCTGCAAAGATGAAGTGAAGAAAGCCAAGGCTCAAAATGAACTGAGGCTTGCGACCAAAGTCAAAAATAACAAAAAAAGCTTCTTTCAACATGTAAAAAACAAGAAAAAAGTGAAGGAAATGATTGGTCCATTAGTGGGTGGAAGTGGCAAGAAGGTGACAAGCAACAGGGAGAAAGCAGAACTATTTAACTCATTTTTTGCATCTGTCTTTACACAAAGGGAAAAAACAGACCAACCTATCAAAAATAGTGCCACAAAAAACAAAACAGAAACACAAGTTAAGATAGGCAAGAAAATCGTTAGTGAGCACCTGTCCAGCCTAGATGAGTTCAAATCGCCAGGACCAGACGGATTACACCCCAGAGTTCTCAAGGAACTGGCAGATGTGATATCGGAGCCACTGAACTATATTTTTCAAAGATCCTGGAACACAGGGGAACTACCAGAGGACTGGAAAAGAGCTGATGTAGTTCCCATCCTCAAAAAAGGAAAAAAAATGGATCCAGGAAATTACAGACCTATCAGCCTGACCTCAATACCTGGGAAGATCCTGGAAAAGATAATCAAACAACGAATCAACGAACACCTAGAGGCAAACAAAGTCATTACTAAAAGCCAACATGGGTTTGTCAAAAATAGATCATGCCAGACAAATCTTATTGCATTCTTTGACCAAGTGACAAAATTAGTGGATCAGAGGAATGCTGTGGACATAATTTACTTGGACTTCAGTAAGGCATTTGATAAAGTAGATCACAACCTACTACTTGACAAGATAGAAAAATGTGGGGTAGACAGAACCACCACCAGATGGATCCGTAGCTGGCTGACCGGCCGTACTCAGCGAGTGGTCCTCAATGGAACTGCATCTATATGGAGGGAAGTGTGTAGTGGGGTGCCCCAGGGCTCTGTTCTGGGCCCAGTACTCTTCAACATCTTCATCAACGATTTGGATGAAGGGATAGATGGGGAACTCATCAAATTTGCAGACGACACCAAGCTGGCAGGAATAGCCAACACTCCAGAAGACAGGCTTAAGATACAGAAGGATCTGGACAGACTTGAACACTGGGCACTAACTAACAAAATGAAATTCAATGGTGAAAAAAGCAAGGTTCTACATTTAGGCAAGAAAAACCAAATGCACAAGTACAGCATAGGTGGCACCATGCTCAATAGTAGTAACTGTGAGAGGGACCTCGGAGTCCTAGTAGACAATCACCTAAATATGAGCCAGCAGTGTGCTGCAGCTGCCAAAAAGGCCAACACAGTGCTAGGCTGCATTAACAGAGGGATAGAATCAAGATCACGTGAAGTATTAATACCACTCTTCAATGCCTTGGTAAGGCCACCCTTGGAATACTGCATCCAGTTTTGGTCACCACGATGCAAAAAAGATGTTGAGACTCTAGAAAGAGTACAGAGAAGAGCAACAAAGATGATTAGGGGACTGGAGGCTAAAACATATAAGGAACGGTTGCTAGAATTGGGTATGTCTAGTTTAACGAAGAGAAGGACAAGGGGGGACATGATAGCAGTATTCCAATATCTCAGGGGCTGCCATAAAGAAGAGGGAATTAAGCTATTTTCCAAAGCACCTGAAGGCAGGACAAGAAGCAACGGGTGGAAACTAATCAAGGAGAGAAGCAACCTAGAACTAAGGAGAAACTTCCTGACAGTGAGAACAATTAATCAGTGGAACAGCTTGCCTCCAGAAGCAGTAAATGCTCCAACACTGGAAGTTTTTAAGAAGAGACTGGACAGCCATTTGTCCGAAATGGTGTAGGGTTTCCTGCCCGAGCAGGGGGTTGGACTAGATGACCTCCAAGGTCCCTTCCAACTTTACTACTATTACTAAATTTTTGGACAAATGGCTGTCCAGTCTCTTCTTAAAAACTTCCAGTGTTGGAGCATTTACTGCTTCTGGAGGCAGGCTGTTCCACTGATTAATTGTTCTCACTGTCAGGAAGTTTCTCCTTAGTTCTATGTTGCTTCTCTCCTTGATTAGTTTCCACCCGTTGCTTCTTGTCCTGCCTTCAGGTGCTTTGGAAAATAGCTTAATTCCCTCTTCTTTATGGCAGCCCCTGAGATATTGGAATACTGCTATCATGTCCCCCCTTGTCCTTCTCTTCGTTAAACTAGACATACCCAATTCTAGCAACCGTTCCTTATATGTTTTAGCCTCCAGTCCCCTAATCATCTTTGTTGCTCTTCTCTGTACTCTTTCTAGAGTCTCAACATCTTTTTTACATCGTGGTGACCAAAACTGGATGCAGTATTCCAAGTGTGGCCTTACCAAGGCATTGAAGAGTGGTATTAATACTTCACGTGATCTTGATTCTATCCCTCTGTTAATGCAG